ACATTAATGTTTGATTTTAATATAAATATTACAAAATTAAAACAAATATTAAATTATTAAAATTATTATATCTAACAAATATATTTAATGAGATTTTTATTTGATTGATACATAATTTAAAATAACTATAGTAAAATCATTTATAATATACGGTATATTAATTATGTCAATTAATAAATTTCGACTAAAATCTGAATAACATATATTTATATTTTTTATTTTTATTTTAATTGAGCCTAGAATACTTACTAAATAAAAATTTGCAATTTTATTAAAATAATAATATTTAATTATATATTATGATAAATTCACAATTATTTTTTATTGTTAAGATTTTATTGGAGATATAGTATTATTGTAATATATTATTTTATTTTTAAAAAAATTGATGATTTATCTTTTTTTATGCTTGATCATATTTCATTATATAATAAGTCTAGTGTATACAATACAATCTGTATATTGTCATAGAATAAATAAAATATCGATTTTGTTTATATGATTTTCATATATAGGCTATGATTTCAAAAATATGCTAATTATATATGAAAAGTACAATAAAGTCGTTCAGTATTTCTTTTATATATCATTTAACAGAAAAATCTTAGAGTAAAAGTAAAATATTTTTACAGAATTTTTCATTTTTATTGTTATATTTTTTCTAAAATAATTTAATGTATTTTTACTGTAATAAAAGTACAACAAAATATTAATAATAATACAAATAATAATAATAATAATAATAATAATAATAATAATATTGGCAGAGATATAAATTGACATAAAGTTAATCCCAATTGTTATTCGTAAATGCATTCTTCATAATATGTGTTTATATACCACTTCTGACTTAAACTATAACTGAGTTTCCATTACAACAACAAATTTGATGACAACTCATACACATCTGTCGACCGAAGAATTTACTTTTAGTTTGTTTTTATGTTTTTATTTTACTCTATAATTCCCGTAAATATAATAATATTAATATATAGTAAACGTTTGTTCGTTATATTATTATTATTATTATTATTATTGTTTTAGTTTTTTTGTTGAGTTTCCCAATACTTGTCTTAATTTCGTTTAATATAATTTTAGTATAAAAACTTTGTTGTTTTTGTTGTTGGTTTGGATGAAAAACTGTGGTCCCAATTGTGGCACAGAAATAGTAGTCCTATTATTAATGACGCGAATAATTCATTTGACAAAACTTATTGACAACAATTTTACAACAAAAAGAAAGTTTTTATTTCATACAGTATTTACAATGATATCATATAATGGCTGCAATAAATTGTTAATTTTTATTGTTGTTTATTAATTAGTGTAAAACATTAGTCGAGTTTTACGGCAATTGTTTATTAGGCGCACCAATACATTAAAAAACTCATTGTATTTTAAAATTATTATTTTATTTAATTATTAATTTGTTATAAATTTGGATTTATTATGTTGTAGTCGCAAGCACTGGCATATCAAAGCATAATATGTATGGTCAGTGCTGACCATTATATAGGGATTTTAAGCAATACTTGACACCTAAAATAGTCGGCAGTTATTTGAAAAGTAATAAACATATAGAAAGTGAATACTTTCTATAAATGGCAAAAATGCTAAATTTAAGTCTATGTGATAATTAAATTATTGCTAAATTTTAGTAAAATTTTGATATTTTAAAGTTATTTTAAACATAAAATGTTTATACTTTACATTAGTTTAATACTATTTCTATACAATTATCTACTTAAAAACATTAACAAAAAATGAAATAAATTAAAATTAATAATAATAGACATTTATCATTCATTTTTCAAAAATATTATATTTTTTATATCTTTTATAAAATATGATTCTTTTAATAAGATCTAAGTTTTTAAAAATATAAATAATGAAAATAAAAACGATAGAATATTTTTAAAAATTAAGATATCTATAACAAATATTTTGATTAAAAATGTGAAAAGTTTAAAAAATATATTTTAATACAAATTATATTAATAATGTAACAGTAAACTTAATAGTACTATACTATCGTAAATAGTAGTACTATACCTGTCTATTGTTGATATCAATATAATTAATTTCAAACATGAATTCAATGAAACTTTAGTAAAACAATTTAATGTTTATGAAAATACTTTTATTAAATTATTTGACGCGAAATGTTAGTCGACAATAATTGCTAAGCGATTGATATAAAAATGATAAAACAATAGTGAATACCATTATATACGATATGGCTATCAATCACATATAAGACAGGCATCGGTTGGCAAACAAATTGACTGAATTATTGCCAACAGACTCTCACTCCAGTAACCGACTCATCAATACTTATGCAATCATAATATAATTCTTGAGTTTTGTCAATATTGACGTTTGCTATAAAAAATTATTATATTATTGTTTATATGAAAAAGTAGTTTATATACTATATATGAAACGTTACACAAAGTATCGCTTAAAGTAACCAATATATAGAGGTATAGTACAACTAGAGTTCGATCAACATTCCCAGGGATGGAAATTCCCTAAAATAATTCCTCCAATTTTCCGAAAAATATGGACAATGTTTTATTTTCCCTCTCTTGATCGTTAGAAAAGAAAAATATAATTATTACGATAAATACTACCAAAACTTAAATATTTTCCAAAAAATTGAAATATTTAAAACTAAATTTCAATTCAATAAATTTAGTGAGAATATTATATAATATAATATTTGCTTCTCAATCAGTATAATAAAATGTGTTGTTTAGAGTTTGATAGGTAGGATTTAGAATAGGAAAGGTAGGTAGGAAATAGATTTCCCATGAATTCCCAGAGAGCAGGGAAGATAAGGAACTTTTAGTAAATAAAATGAGGGAATCTGACCTAACCCTAAGTACAACAAATTTATTTTTGTGTTTAATATCTAATTAGTAGTTTATGTAAAACATTAGTTAAGTTTTACGACATTTACTCATTTGACGCACCAATAGATTAAAAACTAATTGTATTTTTATTAAATCATTTTAATTCAATTCAATTTATTTAAAGAGTTAAGTAATACATTTAGGTGTTTCTCATACATCAAATCGGTTTGAAGAGACCAATAATGTCCTTAAAAAATCCCGAATAGTGATGATAGCTCAGACATCCCTGAGTTGCTTAATACCACTTACATACCTGTCCGACGCAATTCGAGATATTCGACTTTAAATATATTTGTTAATTAAATTATTATAAATTTTAGTACAATATTGATATTTAAGTTATTTTTAAACATAAAGTGTTTATACTTTACAATTTAAAATATAAAATATTATTAGTTTGATTGCTTTTTATACAAAATAAATTATATAATTTTGTGAAAATATGAGATATAATATATAATTTACTATTATTTTATTATTTAATCGCAAATCACATGAAACTATATTGAATTATATATTAATATACTGTGTATTTATAAGATTGTCAATTGTATTATAAATTTATGGTATATTATTTGCACAAAATAAATAAAATAGTCCAAAAAGTAAATAAAATCATGGTTTAGATTTGAGGGGTAGGGGGTAAAGTCATCTTACACCCAGACTAATTTTACCCCACCCCACCCAATGTCTTATTATTTATAAACTTATTATTTTTATTGTAAAACTATTTTTATTATCAAAATTTAAGTTAATATCAAATGATTTTGCGGATAATAAGGGAATTTGGGAATATTTTATATTTTCTGGGAATTTATAACTAATTTTTTGACCACTTTCTTAATTCTCAAATTTTGAAGAAATTTTTATTTAAAAATGCAATAAAAATTTATACACATTCAGTACTTCACTCAAGATTTTTCGAGATTTTTATCATTTTATCCGTAACTCAATACCCCTTTAGACACTAAAAACTGCTTAACTCTGAAATAAAATATTAATATTATTTTTAAAAATTGTATGCTTAATGACTAAAACTATAAATTTTTAATGTATTTATAAGTAAACTGTAGTTAAAACATTTCAAATACTTTGAGTTATGTTAGATAAACATAAAAAATGTAAATAAATTTTATCAACTGTTGTGGCAATGTTTATAAATAATAAAATATTAATGATAATGTAGTTTATATTATATAATATATATACTGTACATACATTATAGAGTATAATAAAATTTTTATTAAAACAATGTTTTGTATTATACTCGCATCACATAACATAGCGTTACATTAATTTTTAGTCTACCAAACACTCTCTTTAACACTCATTTAGTACTTACCAATGATCTTATCAAAAGATAGTTAAGTGAGAGAGAGAGAGAGAGAGAGAGAGAGAGAGAGAGAGAGAGAGAGAGAGAGAGTTAAGTTTAAAAAGTGTATGAATTTGGTTTTGCATTTGGTATTAGTGGCACATTTGAACCTAAATAGTGAACAATAGAGTGAATATATAGATTTTGGTGCACTTTATTTGTTTCATTAAAGATACGTTTACTCAAAGAATCAATACATTTAAGACTAATAACGGAAACCGACTAACAATTAATCAATACTTTTATGGATTACAACATAAAAAGTCAAATTATTACTGTACTGTATATTAGATAGAGACTCACTTTTAATGTGTGAATAAAGAGTATAGACTATTAAAAAGCGTTATACAGTATGTACTGTATATACAGAATAAGTACAGATTATATATATATATGTAACTACAGTACTAAACATGAAAAACATACACAAAAAAGTTTTTATATTTAGAGTAAAGTTATTCATGTGAAGAAAATTTATATGTTTTTATAGTGAATAAGAAGTTTTAGTATAAAAACATTACTGTTTTGTTCATTCAATATATAAACACATTTCCATTAAGTTCTTGACTTTTAAGGAGAAAATTCTTTGACATCAAAATACTCTTTATTTACTATAACTGGAATAAAATGTAATGTTTTATCTTTATATAACAAAATAAACACTTATGTAACTAACAATACCTTTATTTTTTCAAAAATCTAATTGTTTACAGTATGTTCACTGTTGGCCAACGGCGCGATTGCACTGTTCGGTCCATTAGGCGGTCAAACAGCACTTCACGTGCAGTCAATCTGTGATGCATTGGAAATACCACACATCGAGTGCCACTCCAATAGCAGGGATATGATGTCCGATCATATCTCCATTAATCTCTATCCTAAGCCATCATCTCTATCACGAGCTTATGTAGACTTAGTCAAGGCTTGGGGTTGGAAAGTATTTGCCATCGTTTACGAGGATAACCACGGTATACATCATTTCATTGTTATTGTATTATACTATTATAATTAGGGTTGTAATTAGGGTTACATTAGCAATTTTAGTATAATTTAAATTAACTATTTATTTATTAAGTTTAAAAGTCCTTTATTATATAATTAATTCAGAATTTAATTCTTATTATTTTATTTTACTTTAAAATTTAATATTATTTTATTAATCTAATATTAAATAATTATTAAGTTTTAAGAAATATACTAAAGTGATTGATTACATTATTTTTTGTAAGAGTTTTTATACATACTATACAAATACAGAATCTATTAATATTAAAATAAATTACAACTAATATAATGTATATTTGAAATTTAAAATTTATGTGATATTAAAACAGATAATAAATTACTAACAAAATACCTAACACTTCTTTATTGTATTGTAATACTACTTAAAGTATATTAATGTAAAGTCACTCAAAACCAATTTTACAATTAATTTGTAGTCAAAATGTCAAACCAAACAAAAAATATTTGCAACAATAGTGAATCAAACAATTAAAATAAGCTATTTTTTGGCTCCGAGATTATAGTTGTATCTATAAAAAGAAATCATATTATTTATGATGACATCAGATATATATTAAAGCTTTTGTTTGAGAAATGACCGCAATTTCCAAAATAAACTTTTCTTTAAGGCTTTTCTTCTATTGATTTGATAGTTAAGTCAAAACTTCAAATATTTCTTTTGGATAACATTTATATAAATAGACTGTATATATATATATATATATATATATATATATAATATATTGGAATTAAACACTATAGGAAATAACAATATATTGAGTTAAGTTTTAGTCAAAAAACAAAGGCGTTTAGGAAACAAATGTTACAGAAAAAACTAAACGAAAAATTGGCGTTAATTTGGTAACAGTTTGTATAAATAACTTTAGCTTTTAAACAAAAATACCGTAAAAATTTAATTTGATTGTATATACTGTATATATTATTATTATTCTGTATATACAGTATATTCGCATATTGGCTAACATCTAATGGCAAACTTGTTTTCAATTTGTTTTCATTAGTAGTTAAACACAACTCATATAACAACTAAACACTACAAGACTTGACTTAATAATAGTCCAAAACATTTGACTGTAAAATAATTCAATATACAAACAATTACTCGCATAAACATTAAGACAAATAATAAAAGATAGAATTGTTTGGCTATAAAAAACAATATACATATTTATGTCGTTTTTTTATTGATTTGAATAAATAGCAATTGCATTGCAGACTCAGCATCAGTTTGTATTATAAATATACTTAATATTGTAAACCAAAATATACTGTTATATAAACTATACAACTAATGCTTTACTAGTTTATGGTCTAACATTTGTTGTCTAACAATCATTGGTAGCCATCACATGGATTATGTCTATCAATCAGTTTTTATAAACATTTTCACAAGATTTATTGACATTTCTTTATGGTTATAGATATTGCAATACATTATAAATTATACATTTAATATACTTTATATAATATAAATTCTAAGCATTTTTAAAATAAATTTATAGTTTCTTTGTTTACTATTAAACTTTTAATTTTTATTTTTTTTCAATTTGTTTTGTAATTAACTTTTAAAGGTATTGTCCGAATCCAAGACTTTCTGAAGGAAGCGCAACAATACGATTGGACGATAAAACTCTACCAATTTTCCGACAGACCCTATAGAGACATATTCTGGGAAATTAAAATGACTAAAGTATTTCATGTAATTATTGACGTCAATCGACTAAATATATTCACTGTTTTAAAACATGTAAGCATTTTATATGATATAAATTATATCTATTTTGTTATAACATTAGAAATTATATTGTTTTTGTTTTGACAACTATTTCTGGAAATTCATAGTCAAATTTGATAAATATATTTGTTATGCAAATTATTTTAATTATAAAAGCATTTTTTTAAATAAAAAAATTATTTATTTAAATTCTATTATTTACAAAATATGAAATTTTATAATAAAATTTTTAATATTTAAGCAAAACTAAAAATATTTAAAGTTACTTTATAAAAATATATACTAATTTTAGCACATAAATCATATTTTTATTACAAAAACATCATATTATATATATCATAGTATAATATTCTGTATATATATACTCAGTATATGTATTAGAAATACTGTATAATGAAAGTTAGAAAGAATATCGAGTTTAATAAATAGTTTAAATTTCTATTTTTATAGTATATAATAAATAGAAAAATAAAAATACAATTTACACAATATATGATATAAAAATATATATACTTTTTATACCTTAAGCTATAATACAATATTAAATACATAAAACAGTCAAACAATCGTAAAAATATAGGATTGTTATGACACTCGAGTTGTGTCCACAAAACACATACAAACTTCACAATCGATGATTAAAATGTCAATACATTATTCATTTAAGAAATATCTCTATTTTAGAAATATGTCTCAGATTTTTGTTGTGAAAAAAATAAAGTTCACAAATAAATATATTTATAGTTATTAATGTAATGACTTATTGATGAATACTATTGTATTGAAGGCACAGCAGGTCGGGATGATGACTGAGTTTCAAAGCTATCTCATCACATCATTGGTATGTATTAGGATTTGACAATTTGTTTGTTTGTTTGCTTACTATTCAATTTTACTATCACTTTACTGCCATTAATTTAAGCATAACTTATTTACTAATTAAATGTTCGTATATATTAAATAAAGTACAGCTTTTAATTTTATACTAATATAACTAACAGATTTAATACTAATAATAATATACTCAAATGCACGCAAATATGCTATAAGTTATTTGTTATAACAGAGTTGCTAAAATGGGGGGTAGGGGGTAGGGGTAAGACATCTTACCCCCTGAGATCGAGATTTTTTTTTTGATTTTACCCCCTCACCTGAAGCCAATAAATTAGCCTAAATTAGCCAAAAAATTTAGTAATTTATGTAAAATTACAAAAAAAAAATAAATAAAAACTAAATAAGTTTTAATATAAATTAATAGCTTTATTAATACTCAATTACATCTATTTAACATTATTTAAACTAAATAATAATGTAATATATATAATAAAACAAATAAACTTAATTTTTAAAAATATTTAAACATAAAAATTTATTTACTAATTAACACAAAATATGCTTTAAAAATACTAAATATGATATTAAATAAAAATTACATATGTAGAGTTCGGGTATCCCCACAAGGAAAAAAGTTCTCTAATAAATTCCCACCAATTTTCCAGAAAATAATGAAAACGTTTAATTTTTTAGCTCTTTATAAAATTTAGTGGGAATTTAGTGGAGTTTAGTAGGAATTTAGTGGGAATTCAGTCAAATTTTGAAAAAAATTGTCGTTTAAAAATGCAATAAAAACAAATGTTGATCCTCTTTATCCCCAAGCTTTTTCGAGATTTTTGCCATTTTACCCCACCCTATACCCCCCTTGAAATCGAAAATCATTAGCCACCCTGGCTATAACTGTCTACTTTTAAATTAAAAGTTTTAATGTATATTTATAACTAATGTTTTTTTAATTTAATTAAATTATTAAATTATATATTTCTTATCTTATTTTATCAGTATATGTAATCAAGACTTAGTTTTTAATAAACCATAAATTTTATTTAATATCTGATATTAAATTTTCTTAACAATGTACTGTACTTTATATGAAAAATAGAAATTTTCATTGAAACTAAAATATCACTTTGAAAATATTATTAAATCATTTTACAAGCTTGTTTGTTGTGCAAATATTTCAAATATTTAAACTATTTTATATTGTATTTTATACATAAATATTGCATTTTTAGGCAAATATGTTTTCAAAAATCAAAACAAACAGTAATTTTTTCTAATAAAAGTTTTCAAGTAATCGATATCGTTGTTCATAATACTGTACTATAATTAATATTTAGATATTTTAATATACTATTCATAATCTGTGTAATTGAGTTATACATTAATTAACATTACTTTATTGGTTTAGTGTTGGTTACTGTTGTCTTCTAAGGGTATATTGTTAGTGACCATTTACCTGACCAGTTAAATGATTACATATACATGATTGTATAAGATGACCTAAACAAATATTTTAACATTTTTTCTAAATTAAGTTATAAACAAAATTTATTAGTGTCTAACAAACATTTTTAACATAAAAATTATTGAACAATCATTGAAGTTTTCTTATAAATTTTTATAGAAAAATTCTATAATAATACACAGTTATTATAAAGCATATGTTCACTGGCAATGTTTAACTGAAATATTTAGATAAAATTAATTATATGACTTAAAATATGACAAATACAGAGAATTTAATGAGTAGTTTATTTCATAATATAATAGTTTAATAACAATGACTAACTTTTCAAAAAGCATTAATTAGCAAATTATTTATAGTCTGAACTTTTATTTTTTTTTAAATATTGATCTTAATTTTATCATTTATTTATTTTTTGGTTATTGTTATATTTTATTTTTTCTCTTGTTATTTATAAATTTATATCAGTATCTTATTATGTAAATATTGTATTTAACCAAAAAATAATAAAATAGTGACAATATTTATACAATATAGTCAATATAATACTATACTATATTGACTATATTAATAAACTTATTTCTTATACTGTATGATACAGTAATTTTAGACCGCATACAGTATATTTTATGTCATATAAATATATATATATATATATAATTTATATAATTAGTATATATATTTATTATACAGTATATTACAGAATATTAATAAAGTAAAATAAATGTTTGTGTTATCAAATCGTATAGAATATATTGTATGATTAAATCAATTGTACGGCTCATCCCATAAAGGATACAATTTTCATTATTTACTCCAATTCTTAATATTATTACTTATTATAATAATTTACTCATACGACTAACGGCAAGATTGACACTAAAGTTTGATGTCATCTTAAAATTATGTGTAATGAAATTAGTTTGGTTTTTCATATACTGATATAAATATATTTTGATGTCTAGTTCTGTATATATCTTAATTATTTGGATAGATAGCATAAAATGAAACAGGTTGATTTTAATTAAAAATGATTAATTATCTATTGATTGATAAAGTAATTTACCAGATTTTTTATTTTGAACCAAAATTATGATTATTAAATGATTATAAATGCTTAACTATAGTATGTTAAACATATGAGTTGATTATGATTTTGATAAATATTCGCTAACGAGTAATAGTATTTTCAGAAAATATTAGTTAAAAAACTCAATTAAACAATATATTATGTTTTGTATATTTATTTGAAAATAATGTTGTATTACTAGTATTGTGAAATTGACTATAATCTATATTATTGGCAATATTAATTTAAATAAATAAAAGCACAGTTATTTTAATAATAAATATAAATTAAATATCTAATTAATTGTAATACTTGGTGAGTTCCCTACTAGTATTTTTTGCATTTATATAATACATTAAACAATATATTTATAAAAAACGAATTTTCTCTGAGAATATTTTTAGTCAGAAATGATCAAAAATATCAATATTTAATATAAAACAATATATATATTGTATTTTTAGAAGTTTAAAAAAAGTATATACATTGTAGTATACAAATTAAATATTATAAGACCAGTCAAATGATTTATTGCTATTACTTTATAGTTGAATGGATTAAATGTTGAAATTTTTGATAGACTTGTTTTCTTATGAATAAAGAAAATGTTGTTTTTATTTAATTTGTAATACATTATAATATACAATAGTATTATAAAGCATAAATAAACATAATGTGACAGCATATATAAATTAATGTAATTTTTATTTATTTATTATTTAAATCTATTTTGTAACAAAGCTTTACTTTATAAATACAATAAATATACATTAATTAATTACAAACTAATTTAACAAAAAATTAGCCAATTTTTGATGTATGGGATTAATTGCAAATTAATTATTCTAATAATTTTTTGAGACATTCTATGTGTCTGTTTGTATAAATATATTATATGTGATATAGAGTTTCTCATTGTTGTAATAAATCTTAAAATATATTTCATGTTTTATATTATATTGTCTTTCATTGATTTTGGAAATATAATATTATTTTGTATTAATATAATGATTAATTAATTTAGGTTAGAAAACGCATTATAGTTAACATTTTATAGTTAACAGTTAACATTGCGTTATAATTAATTTAATAACATAATTTTGATGAACCAATTTAGAATAATTTTTATTTAAATTTTTTAAGTAAAGTATACATAAATTTTGATTGTTTTTCTAAAGATATCCCCAATATTTCATGAATCTTAATATACTGTAATACAAATACTGTACAATAAAATATATTTGAATTTTTATGTTTAGTTTTGCGTATAAAATAATAGTAAATACTTTAAAAGAACAAAATAATAAAAATGTTTATTTTTGATTTGGATTTTTAAATTCTTATAAAACAAAATGACAAAATTATTTAATAAAATATTTATTGAAATGTTTTTTATTTTAAAAGTTATAAATAGTATTAAATGAAATGTGATTTATTATAAAGTAATGCTTAAAAATAAATAAAATTTTATCCACTTTTTCTTTAAGATTTTTACTGAATTTGTGTTTCAAAATTCACTTCTATTATATATTTTAATAGTTGTTATCAAATTATTAAAACAATTCTTAATTTTACTTTTAAAAATATTTTTTAAATTGCTAACAATTTTTTATATTAAACACATACACATATATAAAGAAGTGGTCAAATGATGTTCCGTCGCGTAATTTTTAAATAACTTTTGAACGGTTAGAGTCTCTAACTTAGAGATAACTTAATTCTGTAAAATACATTTAAGAATATCATATCGACCTGACTTAATATACACGCAATTATAAAACTAGGATGAACAAATGTTATAAATATTGGAACCAAAGAAAGACACTATCCTACAAATCTAACTACAAATGACAAATTTATTATGACAGACAAAGTTTGTAGTCAAGAAATAATAGTTTAATATAAAAAAAGAATCATCAAAATCGGATTGGTAGTTTTATTTTTATGGTTTGTTAAGTTTGTTATAAATCATTATATAAATTAGTCTAAAATAAAAATGACATTGTTTATGACCTTTATTTATTAGATGAACTTTTTAATTATATTACTAATTCTAAAAACAAAATTTTAATATGTCGACTAGTTTTCAAAATAATTGAATTTCAATAGTGTGATTTATATTGTATTTTGATTAATTTGAAAACTAGTTGACATATTAAAATTTTGTTTTTAGAATTAGTAATATAATTGAAATGTTCATCTAATTAATATATACAAGTCATAAGTAACGTCATTTTTATTTTAGACTATTTTATAAAATATGACATGATAAATATAACAAGCCATAAAATTAAATTACCAATCCGATTTTGATGATTCTTTTCTTCTATTAAACTTTTTTATTACTAATTCTAAAAATTATTAAATTAAACTATTATTTCTTGACTACAAACTTTGTCTGTCATAATAAATTTGTCATTTGTAGTTAGATTTGTAGGATAGTGTCTTTCTTTGGTTCCAATATTTATAACATTTGTTCATCCTAGTTTTATAATTGCGTGTATATTAAGTCAGGTCGATATGATATTCTTAAATGTATTTTACAGAATTAAGTTATGTCTAACCGTTCAAAAGTTATTCAAAAATTACGCGACGCAACATCATTTGATCGCCTTTATATATACAGTATTGGACAAAACTATCTGTGAAAGGTTTGAGACCTAATATCTTAAAAACTACTGGATCAATTTTGATACAGTTTAATGATAAATGTAGAGTATATAATCATGATTTTATATAATTAATATTAATTTTTAAAAATTAGTCATTTAAAAGTTATAATAATATAAGTGAAAAGTTTAGTATTTTACATTAACATCGTTACCAGCATTAAGGGTTGCTTCCATACATTTTGTCATTTTTTAATTAATTTTTAAAAATTACTTATATTATTTTTGGACAATTTTAGTAATTTTATATAAACTAGATTATATACTCTACCTTTATTATAAACTGTATTAAAATTGATCCAGCAGTTTTTAAGATATTAGATCTCAAACCTTTCACAGATTGTTTTGTCCAAGACTGTATATATATAATACAAATTTTTCTAGTTTATAAAACTTAATACGGAATAAAAGTTAAATAATTTAATTAGAAATTTGAAACTATTTTAAAATATCCAAAATAATTTAATTTAAATAAATATTTATAATTTTTTAATATAATTTTCAAAATAACTGAGTTTTATTTTCTGAAATCTATACGAGCCTTTTTTGTGTCTGTCTGTAGTATTTTCTGTGAATTTTGAAATTCTGACTTCAGATTCGGTTAGAGGACTACTAATAATGTATTGAAAAGTTGCATAAAAAATGATGTATTACAAGGAATTAAAAGGATGATGGTCAAAATGGCGGATTACTTGAAAATTTTCAAAGTATCATAATTTTTTTAATGTTATAGATATTAATAAACCAAAAAAAATAAAATTGTTTATAACTCAGTAAAAACAGATTTATAAAATTTATATTAGCTGATCACATAGTATACAACATGATATTTTTAGAAATTATTATTAGATTTTTTGGACTGTAATTATTTATAATTTTTTTAATTTGAAATTTTAAACTTTTTGTTCCTCGTGAATTTTATATCCTGACCTAAATGTAATTTTAGTCAAAAAAAATCATAAAGTTAATTAATATTCATGTCTGTTTGACTTGATTCCTTAACCAAAATGACATTTTATGAGTCATTAGATACTCGACATGACAAAAATTTTGTTTATTTTGTCACACTGAGTAATTTGATACCATACATTACTAAAATTGAGTTTGTTATGTAATTCTGTCATTTAATACCATTCATGACTAAAGTTGAGTTGTTTTGTCTGAATCATTAAAAATGATTTAAATGAAGTGTGAGTTAAAAATGATTGAGTATGACAAATAATAGTCAGGTTTAGTCATGTAGGATATTAAATGATTAAGTATGACAAAATAAACAACTATAGTCATGTGGGGTATCAAATGACTCAAAATGACAAAATAAACTCAACTATAGTTATGTGGATTATAAAATTTTATGACGTCATTTTTTCTGGTAATGCTTTCTAGCATTCTCAACTGGTTTATAATATTACATAGTAAAATAATATAAATTACAATATTTTGGATAATTTTATTTACTTTATATAAGTTGAATGAAATAGTTGGTTAAAAATGTTTTTGAATATTATTATTTTAAAGATTTTAATTTTGGGTATTTTTGATGAGACCGCTTTAGTTGCAATTAATTATTGTATAACACATTATAATCAAATATATTTATATATATTTAAAACTATTAGATAAACACTGTCTATCTATGAAATATTAAAAATACTTTATTTTCATAAATAACATTACATTGCATACAGTTTGTTGTTATAACTATTGATAGAATACTAATCCCTATTCATCTAATTCCCTATCATTTGATCCACGATTTAAATAATAATACAAATATTTTGTCTACATTTAGAATTTAATACATAGAAAAACAATTGACTGATTATGGTTTAAATATGTTTTTAAAGTCTAAACTAAAATTTATATAAATGTATTGTTTGATAGATAGAGTCATAAACTGTAAATTAGAAGAACAACACAATCTTAAATATAGTTGATTCAAAAAATACAACTTTTCACATATAATATTGTACTGTATATCATATCATATCATATGTTAATATAATATTAATTTAATGGATCATTAAATGTCACTAAAACTTTGTTTTTTTGTTTCATTTCTTGTTTTCTAATAATAATATATATATATATATATATATACCGTATATATAATTTGATTAAGTTATGAGACATTGGGCCAAAAATAAAATGTTTTATATTGTTTTTATATGACAAATAAAATAATAAAATACTGAATAGTTTGTGACCCAATTTAATGACAACATATTTGTTTTAAATATCTTTAGTTAACATATTGTTTGTCTACAGGACTTACAGACAATAAATTTAGAAGATTTCAAATTTGCCAAAACAAAGATTACATCATTTCGTTTGGTAGACTCAACAAACCCTGAGCTGTACAGTCTAATGACCGATTGGACACAACTGGCCTCAAAACGAGGGCTCAACAATGCCAGTAAACCAACTAATTTATTGGTATGTTTTTTACGGTTGCTTTTTATTTCAGATATTTTTTTGTCTGTCTGTCAGATATTCAACACAAAAGATAGATATAAATAGTATTCATTAGTATAGCACCGATACATATAGTCCTAAACAATACCCGAGAGTCAAAAGTGTCGTTCAGTTATTGGTTGAATACAAATAACACTTAAATGAGTTTTTTGGTGAAAAACTATTCAATTGGTCCGAAAAGACAATAAAATTAAATGAGTTTCGCATTGCAATCATCAATAATAGTCTGATATTATAAAAATATCGTATAAAATGTTAATTTATTTTTCAAGTTTTATTTATATTTCGAGATAACACAGCGAGTAATACCAATAACTAATGCCTTACTATAAATTAAACACCTAAGAGATGATGAAAAGCATTTATTGTTTAAATTAAAAAACTTTAGTTTTATTTAAAAAAATGGTGTTTAAGAAATTACAAGAATTTCTAATTTTGTAATAGTTTTTTATGTTTTTGTTAACGCATTTTTCACATACAGATAGTTGTCATAGAAATTAATTTATAGAATATTTTAATCAATTTAATCAAATTTTTTAAAATTTTAATTTGTAAAAATTAATTTTGTTTTAAATAACAATTCTATTGCTTTATAAAGTAAATTCATTAAAATACACGAATATAATGATTACATGTGTAAACAGTTTCTAATACCGCTATAATTGTTAGCAAAAGTGATTTACTTTGTGAGTATACACTTGACTTGCAATCCATTACTTGATTAGATTTACGCAATCATTATCCCCGTAAATCACTTAAATATAAATGTAATGTTATTAATGAAAGATATTATTAAATTTAAGTTTTATATATATTATAGTTGATTACACAAACAAAATAAATCATATAGCAATTTATGAAAATGTTTATATTAAATTGAAAAACAATTTCATACCTTTATATATATATATATATATATATTAATAAATGCAAATATTTTGAATATAAAATTTTGTAGTATATTATTGAATTTGAAATCTAATTTCTAAACGTTGTATAATTTAATATTATAACTTTTATATTCTGTATGAAATTTGCAAATTTTCATTATAACTTTAGATAAATATGTAAGACTTTTATTTTTTCCAAAATAAAATTACTATATTATTGCTTATATAATATATTTCAGATTGAATGCAAATCACATTTATTTTTGTAAACATTACATACGTTTTTAGCTAATGTATTGGATGTATACATTGTATAGCATTGGATAATATGGAAGATCCATAAAAATTGAGATCTCGTGTAATGATAGAGATCTATATTCATGTTTTGAATATGTTATGCCAGCAAATGTTTATTATATTTAACATTACAATAATTGTCTTATAGAGAGTGATTTATTGTTGTAGTATTGCATATGAAAGTATATAAACAGTAATATTGTACAACATATACATTATATCTATTAATATATACATAATATTATAGACAGAATCGGCACTACTTTACGATTCAGTGAAACTGTTGGCTACAGCACTACAAGACTTAGATCAAAGCCAATCAATAACAATGCCATCAATCAGTTGCCAGAGTGACAATCAATGGCAATTCGGTACATCTCTCATGAATTACATGCGACCCGTGAGGACAACCAGTTTTTGACATTTTTATATAACACTAATATATATGCAAATCAATCAATTAATCAATTTATTTATTTATTTTTTAAAACTATAAAATATTTCTATTTTATAAAATTAGATCACATTTAGAGGTCTCACAGGACTCGTAGACTTTGATCAGTTTGGCCACAGAAGTAGCTTTACTTTGGATGTAATGACTATTAGTGACGACGGACTTCAAAAGGTTATTATGAAATAAATTTATGTAAATATTTTATTAAATTTTATTTCTTGAATATTCAAGATAATGTATTTTATTAATAGTTTTCACATAATAAAAAAAATACATTTTAAATTACTTTTTTTAAATAAATTATGTATTTTAGCTAAATTTTATTTACATTTGTTACACTAAGTGTTATGTTATGTCAATTAGAGTTTTATTCAAAGTAAGTATATGTTTAATACATTCATACACTTAAATAAATATAAATTCAATAACATTTTTACTATAATCTACATTTGAATTGTAAAAAGCATTATTATATTTAAATACTATAGTATATAATGTTGTGTTAAACTCAGTGAATAAATATAGATATTTATAGATAGAGAGAGTGAGATCTTATTTATTACATCATAATCTCTAAGCACATATAATTTGATAGTTAATGCCATTTCAATAGTCGTTATAAGTCGAGTGCAAACTGGGATATACACGATGTTTGTAGAGGACAGTTATGTTTGTATGGATAGAGTTAGTAGGGCTTCGAGCTATAAATTGTGTCCATAAATACAAGACATTTATTTCTGTTGCCTATCTATTGTAATGTTAGATAAGTTTACAGACATGTGAATGGCTATCGATTTTTTTGCCAAAAAGTATACACTCTTTCACTCTCACTCTATGTGTTTGTAAATACTATTATACTGTATATTTCCCTTGAAGTCAGTTTGTATATAAAATATCCTACCAGTGCTTGTATGTTATGAAACCTTTATATAGCAAACATACAAATTATTAGCAATAGTATTCATGATTTAGATAAGGAAATAGAAAGTTATTTGTTCTGAAAAAATATTATTACATTTAATATATATTATATTTATTTTTAGAGACAGTCATAGTTTTCTTTTATAAAATATATAAAAGTTATTTTTGTTTTTTGCAAACATTTTGACTATTTTTTCGAAAGGCTTTACGATAATTTTTGTTTATATATTTTTACTATACTTTAAATTATTATAATGTATAAAAAAATTCAATAATGGAGTTACTGTACTGACACTTAAATGTAAGTGTCGTTTGAATATCAATAAGTTTTTTCATAATTTAATTAAAATCGTTTTTATGGAGATTTTTTTAAATAAAATTTCATTTTAAGAATACAATCAAACATTAAGTGTTGATAAAGTAAAGTATACTTTAAAAATAAATATTACTTTAATATATTATAATGTATTCATACTATTAAATGAATGTCATTTAGTGGCTAATGCTTTGTAATTGATTTTATGTTAATTTTATAATAAATTAATTTTACACATAATTGTCTTTCATAATATATGAAAACATTTGCGTGAGTGAAACATTGTGTGTTTGTGTGTGTGTCAATGAGTGATATATAGAGATAATAGGGATTAAATGATAAATGATTTCAAATAACCTCCGACTTAAATGAAAGAAAACGATAAATAAGTTGATAAATGTGACACTAAATTAATTATTTCCTCGAAATATTAACACATTTACTAATGAAAAATGAGATATATTAAGTCTAAGCATAAAATCTAAACATTGTATAATATTTTTGGATTTAATAGTTTTAAATATATATAAAGTTTGATATATTTTGTATTTATTTGACTATTAGATCGGGTATTGGAGCGGAAGTCAGACTTTACAGCCATTGAACATCAGTGACGAGTGGAGAGACAACTTCTCGTACATGTCTTTGGCAAACCAGACATTGATTGTCACAACTATTATAAACCCTCCCTATTGTATGCTCCGGGAGTCGTCCAAAACCAAGTATGGAAACGATCGCTTTGAGGGTTATATTGTCGACTTAATCGACGAGTTGTCCAAACTGTTGGGATTTAAGTATAAATTTAAAACAGTTGACGATAACAAATATGGTGCCAAAAATGAAACGGGATTTTGGAACGGACTTATCGGTAGGTATTTCCTAATTATTTTTTATATGAAACCAAAAAAATGAATTAATATATCAAAACTACAAATATTATATTTTCTTTACACATATTTTTTACTAATAAAATAATACCCATAATAATATATTAGAGTATTATATTACAGTATATACGGTATATAATATTTAATAGTCAATAATCTCTATGAATGTTTTAATTTTACCAATAAAATAAGATATCAATCATATTTTTATAATAAATGTTATATTTTCTAAATGAAAATATAAAGTATCTAAGAATATAAATATCAAACAGATATATTTAACCATGGAACATTTACATAATATTTAATTATAAATATTCCTAACTATAAAATAAAATAATCTGAAAATTTGTATTTAATTTATATTTGAAATAAAACAGATGTTTTATAAGTAAAAATAATAAGTACAGTATTTTTACAAAAATAAGTTTTCTTATTTTTTTGCAAAGATTAGAGATATTACATAACAAATAGAGTAATTTAATTCAAGGACATCAGGGATTTTTAAAAAAATAAACTAGTATATTTATTTTTTAATCATATTAATTATTTAAAACAATACAAACTAAACTAATGAGAATGTGCAACTTTAAAAAAAAAATATATTAATTATTTTTACATATAGAAAATTATTAAGATTTTAAGATTTTAATAATGATAGTCACAGTTACTACAGTATATTAAAAATTACTTGATTATAACAAATATATGTCTATAACAGTGATAAAAATTAAGTGTTATCATGATAACTTTTCATTTAAAAATTAAACGTCCTTTATAGCACATTTGAAAATTTATACGTATAAATTATTTAAATTTTATCCAGGATCTTTACATAAATTATAATAAAAAATTGTATTTATAATTTTAATCACTGGTCTATAACTTAGTCTATAAGTTGAATCATTGAATGAATGAATAAATGAATGAATGAAAGGAATCATTACTTACAGAAACCTAAATATTATTATTAAAATTATTTTTTTTATGACAGCATTTTACTAATTAATAATAAATTATTATTAAAATGCATTGTTTTATAGAATTTAATTATGTTTTGACTATTAAAATGAATTTATAAAAAATAGTCTTATTATTATATTATACAATATATAAATAAACCCTAAATTGAGTAATAATTCATAACTTGCTTTAATTAATTATAATTACTTTTAGACTATTTTTATAATTTTATTTTAAATTACACTCTATGTAAAATTTTAAAACTTTAATAATATTATTGATAACAATAGTATATGAATTATAATAATTTATTTTTTAGTTAACTGATAAAAATTTTAAAAATACTTTTAAAGTCATATAATTAATTTTATGTAAAAACAAATTTTAAAATGTTGAACAAATTGTTTTTTATATCAAACTGTATTTAATATATATAGTATAATAATAATGATGATGAAAAGATTAAGTCATATGGAAATTACATGAAAAAATTAAATAAATAAATAAATAAATACAGTATCAAAAAATGCTACCATTTATTTATTTTTACGAAACTTTTATGTGAAGACTAATATATTCTATACAATACTAAATTTTATTTATAAATTAAATTTTATTAAAATTATTTGTATTAATAAAAATTTTTACTGAAGCATACTGTATTTATATATAGTATATAATATATATTTTTATAGGATTAAAAACAACATGAGATTTAACATTTATTCCAGAAATGTTGAGTTTAATTTTTATAGATTTTTTTTGGTATTTACAATATTATATACAATAGTTTTATACACAAGTAGTATACGCTAGATTACTCTCATACATAAAACTAATTTGCTGTATATTTATAATTTTTAAAATTTATTTTACAATCACAAAATTAATAATTACTAATTTTATTACTTTAAATATTTAAAAATTTAGTTTTAGATATCACCATGAAAACCATTTATAGTTAATAAAATTTGTTTTAAAAAGATATATGAAATAATTAAAATAGATAAACAAAATGTAATTATGAATGAATTATAACGAATACAATAACTAAAAAAAACTTTAGCTAAAATAAAACCATTATTTTATTTGAAACAACAAATACTGTATATGTTTTCAAAATAAAAATCTTATGACTCATAAAAATGGGATTTTGTCCAAAATAGTAGATCTTTACTAACAACAAAATAATTGTAATAACACTTTTTCAGAGCACTAATACACACATATTATTATTAACGTAAATAATACATAATTTTAAACCAATTTTATGACGAGTCATATATATATCAGGAAAGAACAGATACAATAAATGACAATCTCTTGAGAATTACGGCTTTTCTATAATATATAAAATGAATCAAAATTTGCTATTATTTGTTGCTTATTCTGTACAATACAACACTACAATATACAGTATATTACTGTACATATAATCTATATAAATATAAATACAGTACAGTATATCTATTTATAGGTGAAGTACTGAATGGAAAGGCAGATATAGCAGTGGTAGACCTGACAATAACATCTAAAAGAGCCGAAGCCGTGGACTTTACATTGCCGTTCATGAATACGGGGATCAGTATATTGTTTAAGAAGCCGACCACCAAAGTGACCACTTTGTTCTCGTTTTTGTCTCCTTTTTCAAACATCGTTTGGGTCTATGTATTGGCCGCTTATGTAGGCGTCAGTTCAGTGCTCTTCATAGTTGGTCGACTATCACCCTATGAATGGGATAATCCTCATCCGTGTCGTAACGAAGATTTTGTATTAGAAAACAATTTCAGTCTAACAAATAGTTTTTTCTTCACTATTGGTTCACTGATGCAACAGGGATCAGATCTAACGCCCAAGTATTTCATTATTATTATTATTATTATTATTAATTTTATATTGAATTTATTGTTATAATTGAAATTACTTTTTGAAAATAAAATAGTTTTTAGTATGATTTTTAATACACATTTTCTATATACTTAATACCGGTAGTATAATATATTCATATATTTTATACATAAATATAGTTATTTTAAAGACACTCTATTTATAATTTAGTTTTCTGTTATTTTTTAAATATTATTTTTGTTTTAAAATATATTAAATTTGTGTCATTATTATTTTATAAATAAATTAATTTTATAGCTATGAATTTGAACAAAGATTATAATATATTATAATTTTAAACGTAAAATCAGGAATTTTTTATAATTCTCCAAATTTCTCGTTAATAAATGATAGAAAATTTTAGATATTTAAATACAATAGAAAAGTAATATATTTCTATAAAAAGTTTTTTAAAAATGTTATTTTTTATAAAAAATATATTGATATTTCTAAAAATTTTAAAAATATTTTTTAACTGATTATTATTTAGGTCTCTATTTATTTCACAATTCAATTTATATTACATATTACACGTATAGATAATGAATAACACAGAAATAGAAATTCAAAAAAACATACAAAATATGTGGCAAATAAAACCAACAAAACGTTGTGTTATTTTGAACTTTTAATATTAATATTTATTTATAATATAACATTGTATGATTATAAAATAAAATTGCCATTGAAAACAAAATTAACATTACAATCACAAATACAGAAATTTCTTTGAGAAACTTTTTAAAAATTTTCATTTTTTAAATAATTCAATTTATAATTGCGATTATGATAATGCAAATTAAATTTTATTTGATTTAAAAAAACAAATGTATACATATGAAAATGATAAATAAAAATAGATTATTTAGAAATATATTATTAATATTAATAATAATAATAAATATTTTAAAAAATTATCATAATTCAATTGAAGAGCTCTTTAAAATTCAAGAATAGTATCAAAAAATAAATAACTTTTCATTTCTGAAGCAATCAAAAGAAAAAAAAATAAATTCATTGCATTGAGAAAAAAATCTTACGTTTTATGCTTAGACTTATAACAGTTTAAAGGACTGGTATTCATGACTTTTGCCTCATAAGAGTCATGAATCAAACAGAATAACTTATAACAACATATTATATAATGTTTGAAAATTTAATTTAATTTATACCACATGTGAACAAAAATAGATATTATAAGAGAAAAAAATTACATCATTTTTACGAGAGGGACTGTATATGACATTTATGTCCACGAATTGAATGTTTATGTAAATACAGAAAAATAAAATATATTTGGATTTAACAAAAAAATTAATAAATTTGTTTTCATAGCTGCCATACAATGGTAGCGACATTCAAATGGTTCCAATAAAATCTACTCAAGTATTTTATTATTATTATTATTATTATTATTATTATATTATAAAACAAAATTTATTATTTTATTTTGTTTAATAGTCACATAAATTACAAAATAGTATATGCGATGTCTGTTTTGATTAAACATTTGAATAATGATCTATATATGATTTAAAAATATATAATATATTACTTTGAATAACTTGTAATTATTTAAAAATACTCAAACATAATCAAAATAATTCATATAAAATGATTTTGTTTAATATGCATATTAATAAACTAAATATTTCTTTTAGGGCAATGTCTACCCGAGCCATAGCCGCTATTTGGTATTTCTTTACATTGATAATGATATCGTCATATACAGCAAATTTGGCCGCATTTTTGACGGTTGAAAAAGTGATTTCTCCCATCGAAAGTGCCGCAGACTTAGCTTCACAGTCGTCTATAGAGTACGGCTGTCTGGCCAGTGGCTCCACCCGAGCCTTCTTCCAAGAGTCCAATATATCTACATTTAAAAAGATGTGGGAATTTATGAAAAATCGGGACGTATTTGTTGACAGTAATGATATCGGCAAACAAAGAGTCGAAAAAGGCAATTATGCTTATGTAATGAACATTTAATTAATCACTTAATTGTGTCATTTGTGACCATTAATTATGCTCTCTCTCTCTCTCTCTTTCTCTTTCTCTCTTTGTTTCTTTATATATATGAATAGTTGATGGAATCGGCGTCTATTGAATATTCAGTTGAGAGGGACTGTAATCTGACCCAAGTTGGAGGTCTACTCGACACTAAAGGTTACGGAATCGCCACAAGAAAGAGTATGACCACTGAATTCTAATTGTTTTATTTGTGTCACAACTTTCCTCACAAACACATATTTATACAATATATACTGTTTATATGTATCGGTATTATTAGAGTTTTAATTTTAAACTAAACGACACGAAAGTCATTTAAAGTTTTTATGAAACCGCTTTATGAGATATGTATACTGTAAATGCCATTATTTATTGAATCGTTTACTTTCTTTATTATATGGGTATCAATTTAATATATAAAATACTTTACTATAATATATATATATTTTCATTTTCTACAGACTATTGTCTTAATGTATGTAATATTCTCAGCGGTATATATAATAGAGTTAAAGGAAAATACATAACATTTTTTTGTCTAACATTTCTAAAAATTGCTTCGAAAGCGAATATAGAATATTCTGTGATTAAATTAATACTAATTATTTTAACGATTTAGTAAAAAAAATACAAAATATTTTTATATAAAAAGTGAAATTTTTAGCTCAAAATCTTTTGATATTATATCACTGAATTTTAGCAAAGAAAAAGTAATCAATCATTGAAATACTCATAAATTAGGAATAAGTTAGTATCGTATCTAAAACTATATAATTTCTATTGTACTGTATATACTGTACTATACATAACATGTATTACATATAGTATATCTCATGTGTATTATAACAATTATTATTGTCGTTTTTTGTTAGTCATCTAAACAAATGATAGCTAAAAGATTGTGTTTATTGAATAAATAGGTGATATAATAATAAATAAAATCATTATAAAGACTACACATTATTAATTAGCATGACTTATGGTAAAGAATAAAATAATAGTTATTGTATCTGAAAACAAATCTTAAAAATAAATCAATTTTTATCTAATGATATAAAATGGCAAAACATTTAATAAATTAATCCAATGTATGTACAGTATATTGACTTTTGAATGAGAGAGTTATTAAACATTTTATATAAATTATAATGAATTTACATTTTAGTTTTTGTATTTTATTTTTATTTATTTTTTAAAATAGTTTTTTCTTTAAATCTATTTAATAAATAAATGTTTAGCACATATTGTATGACTAAGAGAGTCTATGAATCGATTACTTAATATGTGTTGAAAAATGAGATCCAAAATCAAATTAGAGTTCACTTTGCAATAATCGATACGTGAAATAAATTATAATGTCGTGAATACATACATACTATCTATTATATATATATATATATATATATATAATATATATATATATATATATAAAGTATGTATAAGTATTGATAAAAAATAGATTATTGCAAACTTTAGTGACAAATAACTGACAAACAATTGAAAATAGTGAACAATTCTAATCAATTCTCTCTCTCTCTCTCTCTCTCTCTCTCTCTCTCTCTCTCTCTCTCTCTCTCTCTCTCTCTCTCTCTCTTATACTTTCATATGTTTAAATATAAGTTTAAAATTAAATTTCAATTTTTTGAAAAAATATGATTAATTGCACTGTTTTGTGTGTGTGTGTGTGTATTGTCATGACTATAGACTCCAAATATAGGGGTCTGTTATCTCAATCGATACTTAAGCTTCAAGAGACGGGACGACTGTTAATGTTGAAAGAAAAGTGGTGGAAACAGAAGAAAGGCGGCGGAAAGTGTACCGACGATAACAAAAAGTCATCGTCAGTGACGGCACTCAAGATCGACAATGTCGGCGGTGTTTTCGTCGTACTTCTCGGAGGACTTTCGTTGGCCTTCTTTGTGGCCATTTGTGAGTTTATGTGGAGATCCAGAAAGTCAACCGCCGGATGCGTTAGTTATATATATTTTTTATGTTATAAAAATTGTTTTTTCTATTTTGCAAATCCTTACGTAATCTCTAATTCAACAGAAAATTAAACATTTTTTTTAATTAATTTTAATTATAAATTGCATTGTTATGCATGTTATTCATGTTATTCTTTCATAAAGTAAATTGTTTTTTATAATTTACTTGAGATTAGTCTCTAAAATAAACTTTTTATTATTACTTAAAATGCAACATAAATTATTTTACGCCAGACATTATATTATTTAATTATTTATTTTTATAATAAATTACTTTTTAAATATAATAACACATAAAATGACAATCAAAATATAAACAAAAAACTAACATAATTTATGTGTTCAAATACAGCATAATATTAATATTTTAGATTTAGTTAGCTTACTTTATTATATTTTATTTATTTATTTTTATATTATAAAAATATTGTATAATAAAAAATGATATATTATTCAGTTTATACATTGACTAATATAAAAATATATTTGATATAATTTAGATATTATAAGCAAACTTTATTAAATTATTTATTGACTATTGTTTTCTTCTCTCTATAAATATATAAATATATTATAATATAGGAAACGATGTGTGAAGAGATGATAAATGATCTCAAGTTTTCATTTGCCTGTCAGTCAAAGTCAAAACCGGGAAAACGGAAGTCATATGAAGACAATGTCAACAATAGCTCTTATAATACGTTATCACAACCGCAAGTCATTAGAGGACAGTTTACTAATAAACTTGATTATTAAAATGTATAATAAAATTTACAAACAAACTCATCACATATGATATTTAATATTATTATTATGTATATTTGTAATATAATGTATATATATATATATATATATATTTAAAAAATATTTAATAAATTTATTTGTATATAAAATTAATATGAATAAAATTTTAGCTAAACTATCAAACATAATAAATGATATAATTATTTGATTTTAAAGGACAGTGATTGAAGTGATAAAAAATTTTGAAAAAATGAAAAATTTCATTAAAAATAAACTGATAATTTTTCTATCGCTATTTGTATAGTAATGTTTTCAATTGATATATCATAAAACAAATTAAAAATGTAATATACAAAGAGTGAAACTATAGATAACTAGAATTGTTAGTTTTTAATTAGGAAATAATTATTGACATAAAAATTTTATAATAAACAATTGATATAAAAATGTAAATAATAAAAATGTATAGTATAATAATATATAATTGACAAACAAAAAGTAAATGTAACATGTACAAACTATAGTAAATTTTGGTTTCATCAGTATATTTATAAATATTAGACTTAAACAAAACTAAGTAATTGCTCACAAAATGTTGATATTATTTTACATGAAGAAACTTCATTAGGATATTATTAAATATTTATATGTAAATTATAAAATGTTAAAATATATTTCGATAATATTCCTGATGTAACAAAATTATTATATTATCGAAAAATAAACAGTTTGAATATGTTTTTAGTATTTTTCTTATAAATTTAATTATATTTGTTTTAACGATACGTGTGTTGTTAACGATAGCAATCATTTAAGATTTTATTTTAAGCATAAAATTTTTAAATAATTTATGTATTAAAAATACTGTATATTTAATATGTTAGACGTGATGTACTATAAATTTACAGACAGGCACTTGCCTTATATTTCAAAACCAATATCTCCCACAAGATTTAAGTTAACTTTTAAAAATATTTTTCATTTATTGAAACAAATTCTTAATATATTTTTATTATTTAGTTTCAAAGTAATTTTGTTGTATTATTATTTTATATCATAATTTCATTGTATATTTTTGTTATTAGTTAAATAATAATAATATATTATTTAAATAGCAAACTGTTTTTATATAATTTTTACACAATTTAAATAATTAAATAAATATTTTATCAAATTATAAATAATACTGTTAGTCACTTAATTGATTGGCCATACAGTATAGTATAATTTTTATTTATTTTTTAAATTAAAACAATTATTTAAAAAGATATTTTAAATTAAATTTTATAAATATTTTTTTCTATATTTAGAAATCAAATTATAGTTTATATAATATATATAAGTAATATTAAGTAATATATAAATATGCTGTATATATATATATTATTTTATAAATTGCATTTTATTGATAGTACTGAATAAAAGAATAAAAATACTTAGAAATCATAATCAAAAAGAAAATTTTCAAATTAAACACTAAAAATATATTTTCTTTTACAGATTACTAGATTAGTCATTCAAAGGTGTTAAAAATAAGTCATTATAAAAGTTAGTAAAAAAGTTGGCAAATAATTACTTAAAATTTATTTATATTCAAACAGTTTTTAGTCTAAAAATGTTTTAAAACAATTTTTTACATTTTAATGTATACATTAATTTTTTGACAGAAGATTTTAACAAAATTTAATTTGTTTTAATTTAAAATCAATTTATAGTATAAAAACTACACTTAATGTCAGCAATGTTTATATATCAGTTATGTATAATATTTTTGTGATCATTATTATGTAATTACATTATTTAATGATTTATTTCTCTTCATTTTTTACACATTTGCTTTAATAATTTTAAATAATAATTTTTCATTTTATGACTAAAATTGTGTAAAATTAAGGGATTTTATTCCAAAATTAAACAAAAGTTAATTAAAGTTAATAATCAGGTGAAATAAAATTTTGTATAAATGCTTATTTTTATATGATATACTTATATATTTAATATGAATTTATTCTCCTATATCCGTGAAAATAGTGAAATAACTTCAAATGTATACCCTACATATAACTCTAGATTACATTGTACAATAATTGTACAATGTATAATAAGTCATTGGATATACAATATTTTTACTATACAATGTAATTACATGTTACAATGTATTTAAAGTTAAAAAAAAATAATTATTAACAATGAGGTCTAAACTTAAAATAATTATTAACAATGAGGTCTAAACTTAAAATAATTATTAAAAAGTTATAGAATACTATATATTTAATTATATATTAATATTAGTAACAATAGTAACATAATTATTAAAAATTGTTTAACAATTTTAATAATTCATTTTTATAACAAATTCATGTAAATTAGCATAAAATGTATACAATTGATAAATATTTTATGTATTTGTGATTTACAGTTCACAACAACTTGATTTAAGTAGTAAAATATTTTATCAACTATTTTGATAGCATTTATATTTTTCTAATATCTAATAAATTTGTTTTTAGAAATTATGTTAAATGTAGCAAATAGTCATTTGAAATACATATGAAACTAAATATTTGATATTTAATTATATTTTTGTAACAAATTTTATTAAATTCTTGACTTTTTTGTGAAAACATATGAATTTTATTGATTTTTTCTGGAATTTATATCAGCAGTCAATCAAACAATTATTGAATAGTAGTTAAGTTTTCTTTTATGTTTGATATCTAAAATATTATATACAACTATTAAGTGATATATAATATAATACATTTTTACTTCACAGAAAAATCTAAATGTTTCCTAAATTAAATTAATAACTTATTTAATTAATTAGATAAACTTAATAAAGTATACCATTATATTATAACTGAGTAGATATATAAAAAATAGTACTTTATTTATACATTGCTTTTAAAATTATAAATTATAGTACTGAAGAAATGTTTGAAATTTTGTTTTGTTTTTTCATTTTTTAAATAATTTTTTTAACTAATTGGATAAATTATTTTAATTAACAATAATAAAGATTGTATTATAATTAAATATAATTTATTTTATTTTACGAATCAATAAATAATTATTACTGCAATTTAAATTGTATACAATTTGTTTCATATTAAACAAAAATGCCAAAAATATAATTAAGTTATTAACTTATATCTTAACTTTATTTAATAAATTTAAAATTAAAAAATAAAATTATATTGAAATATCATATCAATATATATAATAGTTATTTTTTAATAAAATTTAATTTATAAAAATATACAGAAAATACTTAATTAAAAAATCTTTAATAAAAGTTATAAAAATAAATTTAATTTAGAAAATAAAATCCAAATAAAAAATCAAATTAAATATAAGATTTATTGTAAAAACTTAATTTTTATTTGTATTTTATCTTATAAAAACTTGTAGTCTATTGTAAAAAACGGTTTTTTGTAAATAAATATTTATATTGAGTTTTTTAGATATAAAGTTGTAATACAAACATTGATTGCTTTAAATGTCAATACATTCAAAGGGCTAATGTATGTATCGATTGCTGTCCAATATTATTGACATCATTACAAGTAAATCAAACAAAAACATTAAAAAAAACACATTTATTATCAAAGAAAATACGTGTCATTTATTCATAAAATTAATTTTGTAATCATTTAAATTGTATTTATAATATAATTAGAAAATCATTTCAATACAGTTTTGTTGACACAAAAATTGAAACTTTATTTTTGGACGTTTTTAGTATTAAATTACTATCGCTTTTACAAATTCATGCAATACTTAAATCACATTCAAAACACAGAATAATAATGATTTGGGATTTTGTTAGCATTATATTCATTATATACGTTATATTCATGTATATTCCGGTATATATATATTGTAGATACTGTATGTTATCTAATAGTTAGTATTTAATTATAATGATTAAAAAATTAATTTCTAAATATTTATAAAACTGAACAATTTAACCATTTTTATTTTATAGTTAATTTGTTAATAATAAATTATTAAATTTAAACACAATCTCTATTAACTAAACAATTTATTTAAAAGTTATGCATTTCTAAAATTTCATTTATAAATAAAGGTATGTTTATTCGGGAATTCCCGAAACTTTATTATTTATTAAATCGTCGGGAATTTAATATTTATAGAAATATAGGCAACATTTTGAATGAAATTAATGTCTATTTTTTCCCGATTTATGGTGTTTTTTGACAAAATCCCGAAAAACACTATTTAATTGTCTAAATATTAATTAACATAACACTTAAATACATATTGAACACAATATTAGCGGTATTTCTAATACAATATTAACTCAATAGCAATGAATGAGAGGATATGTATTGAGAGGAAAACAATTTAGACAATATTTTGCTATAAAAACTGTAGTTTTGTATGTATTGTAATACAATTTGTAAAACCAGTGAAAATGTTATAAAGCATTGCCAGAAACAAACTTTGATGGCATAAAATATGTTTGCACTTTATTATAGAGTAATAATTTAAACTTATTAGTGAAGTATAAATGGTTTAGTATGAAAAAATAAACTATAGACGTGAGGTATCAAATGATTCAGTTGAACAAACTAAAAACAACTATAGTCATGTGAGGTATCAAATGATACAATATGAAAAAAATAAACAAGTTTTGTTATGTATGTAATAAAACAGATTTATAAAATAAATTACTGAATTACTTCTATATTAATATAAATCTTAGAATTACATACATTATCATACATAACTACATTATCATAAATTCAATTTTTTAAACTTGCTGCTATATATTTTAAAGAAAAAATGCTGATTCATTATATCTCAATTTTTATGACACAATTCTAAACGTTAAAACTTTTTAAAACTTTTATATACTTTTGCCGCCATTTTTGAAAAAATAAAAAATAATGATATATTATATATTATTTTTGATGCTCTATGCAATTCTAAACGTTAAAATTTTCCTAAAATCTTATTTACTTTTGCCGCCATTTATTAAAAAATAAAAAAACAATTCTGATCTATTAATTTTATTTTTGATGCTCTATAAAATTCTAAAATTTTATATACTTTTGGGGTCTCAGCATTTGAGCACCAATCGTATCGCATCATTGTCGTAAATTATACAATAGCCAATTACAGCTCAGTGTTGACAACGGTTTTGCTGTTGTCAACCTGAGCTGAGTATAAATATCACATAAACTACTGCCGCACCAGTAGTGCCTAACAATCAGTCCGCACAGACACTCACTCACGTTTTCTCTAACAACCATTACTTTACTTCCAATCAATTAATAAATTAATTATCATTATTTCCGTACGACTCTGTACGACTCATTACCATCGCTGGCTATCATTGGTAGATCCACACGCAAAGCAAAACATAGCAACACTTTTTAACCGCTATATACTTTTGCCGCGATTTTTGAAAAAAAATGAAAAATAATAATTTTAATTTATCATATATTATTTTTGATACTCTATGCAATTCTAAACGTTACAAATTTTTACCTAAATTTTTTTATTTGACCGCCATTTTCTCAATGTTCCCGAAGAGATATCAAAATTTTAATGTTGATCCCCTATACCTTATTTTTGATGCTATAACCGAAACCGAAATCAAAATTTCAAAATTCGCATCATGAAAGCACACATATATATAAATATATAGATTTCAGTGAACCTACTTTTTATGTATTTTTTGTTTACAATTGTAGTTTACTAACAAAGTATAGTTTATAAATCAAAACTAAATGCATTTATATTGTTAAAGACATCCAACTGTCCTTCAATTACAGATTATTTAGATTATTATTTTGTATTGAATTTCTATTATAATACCTATTTCTGTGTAATTTACTAATCCTTATTACATTTTGTAATACTTTACCGTTTAATATTCATTTACCTGTAAATACTGGTCAATGACACCAATCACTGGAACTCAATGTCCCAACACATCAACTATACAACAGATATATTCAAATTATTCAATTCATTACCTGTATATTAGTTGACTATATACAGTACAACTACTGTATTCATTAGTCAGTCAGTCAGTCAGTCAGTCAGTCAGTCAGTACATTCATACACTACAGTACATATCTCTTACTTCACAGTCACTGCCACTGTATTTCCCTTACCTGATCCAAGTCTCAGCCATTACTACAATACTCCAACTGTTCTTCATTATCACCTCTTATACCTATTCATATTCACATTTTAAACCAATATTTAATTGATATCTTTTAATAATAAAAGTCTTCTAAAAATTCACTCTCGAAGTACTCTAAATTGAACTCAAAATAAGTTAATTCTTGCATTTGTGTCAAACTAGTTGTAAATTCATTGATAACAGTTTAATCACAATTATCATTGATAACTATATTAAGTTATTAATTTGTGATTTGTAATAATGTGTGATAAAGAAAATATTAAACAAATAGACGGTAAAGATATTAGAATCAATTCTAGTCTTTGTACACAAATTATAGTTCTCGACAACAATCAGACACATTCACGGCTTATAAAAAGGTATTGTATTAACCGGTTTCCACAAAATTTAACTTTTTGTTTATTTTCAGGTTTCCAATCACAAGTTGGAGTTCTAATGATATTAAAACTTTTTTAAGTGAAAATCGTATAGATTTTCAAATAAATTGTAATAAAATAGTTTTGTTACAAATTGTCAATCAAACGAAAACAAAAAAAACATTATATGAATAAAATGATTGAAAGTAAAGGACATATACCTCTTCAAACACTACCATATAATTGTGATTTCAATTCTATAGATAAGATATGGACGGAATGGAAGAGACGGATATTCTCCAAAAATATTGGTTATTCTCGCCATTGATTCAGTAATTTAATTAAAGTCTTTTAACGATATAAATGAAGCAAATTATTGACAAAAATTATGTAATAATTTAGTAAAAGTAGAAAATAATTATAGAATTAATGAGAATATAACTACAAATATTGTAATATCTAATGATTAAATTTTTTATTTTTTTTGATAATTTGTTTTTTTTAATATTTTATTATTTAAAAAATTATATTAAAAATATTAAACAATTTATGTTTACAATTATTGTTTTTTCAAATATCTGTTATTAAATAGGAGGCGCTTAATGTTTGTATGAATTTAGTCTAAAATATTTATTCAATAAGCTTTTTTAATTATGTAAGATTTGAAATTAAAATTAAAAAATATATTATATTTAGTATAAATATAAATTTATCTTTCAATTTATAAATATCATAACATAAAATGTAAAACAAAATATATAAACCTTAATGAAAATTAATATGTAAAATAATTAAATTGTAATTAATTTGATAAAATTATTGGCAAAATTATAACTTATATTAATGTTATATTTAATATTTATGAATATTGATAATACAATTTATTAATAGTAAAAGTAGTTATATTTTTGTATCCCAATCCCAATATCATTAGATTTGTCTTATTTTAATGATTTTGTTTTATTAATTAATGACTAATCCATGTAAATAAAATTATAAATATTTTAAGTAAATAAATAAAAATAATAAAAAAGTAAATAATATTTTAATTTTATTTATTAGAAATAATTATATATTTAATTTATGATTAAAAAAATTTCTAAAAATAATTAACTATAAAACTAAAGATGTATTAAAAGCTATGAATTTGATAACCACTTACCGATAATCCTCTTTCAATAATTTACTGTTAAATGAATTTTGTAGTAAAAAGCAATTAAGTCTTGTTTTTGGGTCTAAACTTGTTTTCATGTAATTGTGTGTCTCTTTGAGTCTGACTGTCGGTCTATGGACTCAATCAAGCGATTCATTTAGAAAATAAGTCTTCATCTGAACCAATGATATTCGCTTTCATAACAAGACATCGTTTGTAATTTAATACAACATTTTGTTACCAATTAATCCTTCAATGGTTTCGCTGTTCTTTACATCAAATCAATGATAAAATAGTGGTCTTTGGTTTTTTGAATAAAATTTTAATCCAAATTTATTCTAATCCATGTCATAATTATTATCAATATTTTCATAGATTTCATATTTTTCTTCGCATTTACAATCAATGAAAAATTAAACTTTATTTTTGAAATAATAAAAAATTATTATAATTTACACATTTTTTATTATAATAAACGCATGTTTTTATCCGATTGCCATTTAGACAAAACATATTTGGAATAATTCTAGATTATAATGATTCAGTAAAATATAGTTTTAATTCATACAATCAAATATACATCAAATCAATACATATTGTCCTAAGATTATAATATACTGTAAATAATATAACTTAAACTAAAGTTAGTCCACTTTTGTTGTCAAAAAACACAACAATCCTATGTTTACAATATACTCATTATATAGTATTATAAATACTATTAATTTGAAATTTTTCTTTTCAAAAAAAACTTGAAAAGTTTTGTTTTCTGAAATCTATACGAGCCTTTTTTGTGTGTGTGTGTGTGTCTGTCTGTAGCATTTTATTTTGCGAATTTTGAAATTCTGACTTCAGATTCGGTTAGAGGACTACTAATAATGTATTGAAAAGTTTAATTAAAATTTTGATATCTCTTCGGGAACATAAAGAAAATGGCGGCCAAAGTAAAAAAATTAGGTAAAAATTTTAACGTTTAGAATTGTAAAGAGTATCAAAAATATGATATAATAAATCAGTATAAATTTTTTTAAATTGCGGCAAAAATATAAAAAAATTTTAAGAAATTTTTTTAAAGTATAGATTTAAATAAACCATCAAAAACAAGGATAAAAATATGCATTAAAATTTTGATATCTACGGGAACAAAAAGAATAAGTATAAGCTGAAAAAGTATAATTATAGATGATTATTTTGTTATACTAAATCATTTGATACCACACATTAGTTGATTATTTTGTCAAACCGAGTCATTTGATACCCCACATGACTATAGTTGTTTATTTTGTCATACTGAATCATTTAATACCATACATGACAATATTTATATTATTTATATTTGACCAGTTTTTAAATTTTTATATGTTATTATATAGCCGCTATAATTATACAAACTAATAGTTTTCAATGTTATTCAAGTTTTTTTTCTGAAAATGCTTTCTAGCATTCTTAACTGGTTTTTACTGTTGACTTTATAATATACAGTACATACTAAAGGTGTAAAACAGGATCTTATTGTTGTACAGGACAGGACAGGACAGGACAGGACAGGACAGGACAGGACAGGACAGGACAGGACAGGACAGGACAGGACAGGACAGGACAGGACAGGACAGGACAGGACAGGACAGGACAGGACAGGACAGGACAGGACAGGACAGGACAGGACAGGACAGGACAGGACAGGACAGGACAGGACAGGACAGGACAGGACAGGACAGGACAGGACAGGACAGGACAGGACAGGACAGGACAGGACAGGACAGGACAGGACAGGACAGGACAGGACAGTTGTTAGAGGTGTTAGAGGTGTTAGAGTTGTTAGAGAGGAACAGGAAGGGACGGAACGATAATTTTGTTAAACAAACGACAATAAGTTATATCATTTATTGCTACAAACAAACACAAAATATATACAAATATTTATTGTCTATAAAACCATGTATTATAATATCGATTATATAATTTTATCTCATATTATAATACTTGGTGTTTATAATAAGGGAAAACAAATAAATGTCTTATTATTCAAAAATAATTAAAAGCAAATAAAGCTTAAAATAATAGGTAATAGTTATGGTTTATGAAACTAAAATTGACTTTAACTTTAAGTTGGAATGGAGTTTCAAAAATACACGGGAAAAATCTAAAAATTTTTATATTATGAATGTTTAATTTTTTCACTAATGCTATTAATGATAAATCTAAATACACTATCCTTGAAATATAGTCACAAATAAAAGTAATTTTTTTTTGAAAATATAAACCAGATTTTTGTAGAAATCAATTTTTTAATAAATTGTATGCAAATTACATGTAAACATAATAACATATTATTATTTTTAAAGTAGGTTTTAAACTATTTAATTTTAGTTTCATAAACCCTAACTTTCCTTTTATTTTAAACTTTATTTACTTACAATATCTCTAATACTTTTTTACAGTATAACTCTAATAATTTAGATATAATTAAGATATAATAAAAGTCAATAAATAATTTTAGTATTTCATGATATAATATAATATTAATCTTAAATATTATTTTTATTTTTAATTAGATTATTATGATTTTTATTTATTATAATTATTTATTAAAAAATTTATGACGTAATTTTGACAACAGCTCTTATTTTTATAACTTTTACTTTAATTATGAAATAGAGACTGTATTATGATTATTGAAAAATGATATAAGAAATGCCTGTATATTGTTATGAAAATTTACAAAATCTAACAGGACTTGAAAGACGGGACGGGACAGGACAGGACAGGACAGGACGAGATTTTGAGCTCAATTTACACCACTAATACAGACTATATAAATAACAATATAATAATTTTTATCAATGAATTTATTAGTAAATTTTATGAAAATATTAAACAAATCGTGTAATTATAAATTTGATAAAAATATAAAATAATTAAATTTTTATACAACTAATTGACATAATTTACAATTAATTAAAAGATATTAAAGAAAGTAAGATATCTATAAATTATATATCAAATTTAATTTACCTAAAAAAATCATATCTATTTCAAAACATTTTTGTCAATAAGTTTTAAAAAATGTTTAAAAAACAATACTTCAAATTATTTTGTAAATGTATTTTCATATATAAATTAAGTAATTATGTAATAAATTTCATATTTTTGTTTACAGTATTAAAAAATAAAATATAAATAATCTAAAAATATGTCTATCGATGTACATAACTATTATTATTGGATACAAGTGTTGATACATTAATTGATTTATTATTTGTAGTCAAGTGATGACTATTTGTTGTTAACATTTTCTTTAAGACTGAATCAGTTGATGACATCTTATGGTTGTTGACAGTACTGATGGGATATCTAATCACTTCGTCGATAATCATGATATCGTCGTCACTGCTGTCATCAGCTGTTATCACTTCATCGTTAATATTGATATTGTTTTGATGATTACTATTAACACTATTATTATTATTATTATTATTACCGGTAATACAAATATTGGAAACCCTATTCATATGTTGTTCATTGGTGTCAACACTTAAAAAATCGTCGCCAACAACAATAAGCTCATCATTTGGACAGTGATTATGTGATTGAAGTAATGATATCAGTCTTGTTGGTCGCAAATGAGGTTCAAACTCCCAACACTGATGTCGTGGTTCAAAGTCAACAGTGTTTCTACAGAGAGGACACATTTGAATCCGATTGAGTCTAAGACACAAACGTTTGCAACGTTTCATCAGTAGTTGTGATCTTTTATTGATTCCGGTCTCTAACAGCTGCCACTTGTCGTGTCGTTGTTTTCGATTAAAGCAATAACTGTGATGATAATGGCGTAAACTTCTTGAGTAACGAACCACACTATTCATCACAACGTTATTGGCACTCATTATTGAGACATTGATTAAATATTTATCACAAATGCAATAGTTTTCATAACTAATTGTTATCATATATTTTTCAACACTACTAATTGGCCGAAATAATGACCGATATATACGGCGACCCATATATGAGGCCAAATCAAAATTTGTTATCAAATTTGTCGCATCCTTTCGGAAACTTCTCAGTTGACGTTTGCGACTATTTTTATCATTTTTTTTATCCATAACTTGTTGTTGATTCCAGTCTCTAGTATTGTCCTAAAATAAAAACAAAATAGTTTTACAAAATTATTGGACATAACTGTACTAACAGTTTCATTGATGTTGTTGTAGACAGTAGTCGGCAATAAGTCAGTCAATACTAAATGTTCGGACGGATTATACGTCAACTTTGTATTATTCTTCGAGATATCTCTGAGTGGCCACACATTGAGCTCTGTTTTAGGCTTTGTGTTAAGCGATGGCTTATCAATGAGTCCGATATATTTAAAATATTGGTCATCACTGATGAGGTCGCACTCGGGTTCACGTACTTCACGACTGAGTAATGGCATAAAAGGCAGAGGAGTCTTGTCGAGGATCTGATAGATGACACCCGACTTGTGTGACACTAAATACCGTTTCTTGTGGCCATTGGTTGTCGATCCGTCGGTAATCTGGCCATCGTTTTGTGTACTCTTTTTAAGTGTCAAATGCTGTGTCTTATCGGGTGATAATCGATAGACACGAAGACTATTATTACCGATTTGTGTCTTTGTTGTCGTTGCGGTCAATGTGTTGACAGTTGTGTCATATCTGTGTTGATGACTGCTATCCATATCGAAGACTTCGGTGACAATTAAAAGTAATCTTTTTGTGGTCACTCTAAGTCTGGTGACAATCGGTGGTCATTATCTTCGGTAATATATTATTGTTGACACAGAGTGTCGCACATGTATTACGTGTCCAATGAGTCGATGCACTCAATGTTTGCCCAATGAATGTAGTGTTCATTCAAATGAATTAATTGTCAAAAAAAATACGAAATTAATTGAAACGTAAATTGAATTTTGAGGTCAATTAACGTATAGTCAGTTAACTATAGACTATAGCAATGGTTTCCACGCTTTTTGAGTATTACTTGAATCGATTGGATCCGTGAGTTGTCGCCACTCATGACATCAATTATATACGCATTCATTATATATAACATTCATAACGACATCTATCACTCATTTATACTATTTATAGACAATTTGTGTCTCATTTGTGTCGAAAACAATTCAATTTGATTTGAATAGTATTTCTAAATTATAACTAAAGCTATGTTTATTCGGAAATTACCGAAACTTTATTATTTATTAAATCGTTGGGAATTTAATATTTATAGAAATAAGGGAAACATTTTGAATGAAATAAATGTCTATTGTTTTCCCGATTTTTGATGTTTTTTGACAAAATCCCGAAAAACAATTTAAGTGTTTTTCACGAATTTTGCTTAATATTGATTAACATAACACTTAAATATATATTGATTACAATACTAGCGGTACATCTGATACAATATTTATAGCAATTAGGGTTAGATTCAGATTCCCAGGGAGGGAATTTCCCAAATAAAATCCCTCCAATTTTCCGGAAAAATATGGAAAATATATTATATTCCTTCCCTTGATCGTTAGAAAGGGAAAATATAATTTGTCATACATTAAAAAGTACATAATCTCAATGACTATGTGTTTCAATTGGGACCAGTATGTTAGTAATAACAATCAAAATATGATTAAAATAATATTAAACATTTAGTAAAAACATTAAATACATTTTGTAGACATTTACTATACAAACATGTTTTTAATAAAACATTATGTAATATGAGTTAGGGTACGATAGGTGGTACCACAAGGAAATGTCTTCCCAGGGAATATAAGGAACTTATGGAAAATAAGACGAGGAGGGAATCTAATCTAACCCTAATAGCAATAAATGAAATGATATGTATTGAGAGGAAACACATTTTAGACATATTTTGTTATAAAAACTGTAATTTTGTATTTTCCCGATTTATATCCCGATTTTGTCATATTTTAGTCCCGAAAAAACAGCTATAGTTAAAACTAATGTATAGTAAATCTATATTTAATATAATATTCAATATTTTAATTGAATTATAAAACATGTATTTGTTGTAATCATATTGTATTAGTTTATTACAATTATATGCAACTGAACGCTATGTTAGGGCTCTATCTTAAAATCAGACTTCCGACTCATAATGTTTTGTGAATATCTATTAAACTATATTTTTAATATAAAAATGACCACAAGTGGCAAAGTTATAGATAATTTTAGACTCAATATATTTATAATTATTTTTTATTTACTCTTATGATTGGCCAGATAATTGCATCCGACCCGTTAAAAGAGGCAGAGCCTGAATTCGATCCTATTTCCTCGTGGGACAGACAGACAGACTTTTAGAATACATATATGTACTCCTTTCAGGAGTTCGTGAAAATGATGGCGTCATACGTAACGCCACTTTATTTATACAATTGTTAAAATAAATGTATAAATTATTTAAACAACAGCTTATAAATAATAATTATTATTTCTAATTATTACATAAAAATTTTAATTAAAAATTAATTAACTAATGTTATATAAAAATAATATAACAATTAAGAATTTAATTATAAAATAATAAATATATTAATAGTATTAAAAAATATTTTGATAAAATGCCTCGAGATTTAACAGAAATGTCTACTAATGGAAAATATGAATGTAATAAAATTGATGATTATTTTGGTTTTGATCATAACATCATATTAAGGGAATTTCCTGTATTTCTTCCAACAATATATTCAAATATTGGTGTCAATCAACTGATCAAAAAATTGCATGTTTTTATGCAAATGTATTAAAGACTGAAAATTTACGACTAAATACTTTTAAACTTATAAAAATCATATTGTCTTTACAAATATGAGTTATTATTTATATATTTAATTTAATTGATTTTCATGTAGTGCTGAAATTAAGACATTTTTCAATTTTCAATAATATTAGAATATCAATAAAACATAGATTGATTCGTTGAACAAATTGATATTAATTCGATGTAATGAATCACAAAATATATAAGAATTTAATAGTTTCTTATACTAAATATTGGTATAAAATTAAATACAATAAACTTTTAATAATAAGACGAGTTATGTAGAAAAATACGATTTTGTTTATCATAACAAAAAACAGTTCATATTTTAGATATTTTTTATATTTATGTAAAGTATAAATAATAATTGTATAAAATAATTTTTATTAATATTTTTTAGTAATAATTTTTATTATATTTAGTTTATTGTATTATTAGCATTTTATTATTGTTTTATTATTATTTTTATGATTATTAAATTTCTATATTAAAACTTTTCAAACTCCAATTTAATGATAATTATAATGTTATAATCGATAGATTACATGTATTTCTTAATTAAATGTTATAAACATAATAACTATTAATTTAACTTATTTACAGAATTAATACTAAATTATAAGTTATATCAAAAAATAAAAATAATATTAAGATGTAGTAAGTTAATAGAAATTGTTAAATTATATCAAATATAGTTAATTATAAGTAAATTATTTAATTTACTTAAACAGTATTTTTACTTATAATAGAGTAATACATAGAGAAAATATAAATATGTACAGTAAATTAAAGTTATAATTACAAAGTAACTTTTTATTTTAATTGATGACATTGGAAGCGCTTTAGTGATCTTAACCCATCACAACTTTCACAATTAATTAATTATTTATATTACTTAAATTATAATTAGTACTCAAATAGTTATAAGTGATTCAAATTATAAAGATCTGAGATTTTTATAAATTTAAAAATATGCTGTAAATTATAAATTACTATTTGTAACCAATTTTAACTTCAGTATTGAAATAATTTATATTTGAGACAACTTTACGTAAAAACTATTGTAATACTATTTAATAAAAACATTTTTTTGGTACATATGTAAGACATGAGGGAAAAATTAAATCTAAACAATAAATAGTTATATATTTTTACTTAAATAACATTTTTCAATATATCTATTTTGTTTATAAGATGTGTTTTATTTATATAAGTTATACATGAGTTTGTATTTAATTTGTTAATTGCCATCTTATTAGACAATTTATTATATTATTTTAAATAAAATTTTAATTACAAAATTGTTTTGAATCTGATTGACATATTTATACTGTATTTATAAAGAAATTGACAAAAAATGTTTAACATTTAAATATAAGATCATATATTGATTAGCTATCATTTGTAGCATTTTTTGACCGATTGATTACTTTATTAATAATTTGGACACATTTTGTCCTCCAATCGCTTCTTTGCATTCTTTGTGAAATCAGTTCATACTTTGCTTTTAAATTGAAATCATTGACCACTCGATCGATGGCATCAATCAATTCATTTTGAGAGCACAGGTATGGGTCGAGTCTTAATCCGAGTTGTTTTTCAACAATTCTCTGTGCGTTATCAAACTGATCGCAAAATACGGGAACAATAATCATCGGTTTACCCAAATATAATGATTCAGTTACTGTATTATTGCCGCCGTGAGTGATCACTAAGTCAACCAATGGTATCACTTGTAACTGTGGTAATGAATTGCGACCCCACATGTTGTCCGGTAGTTCATAATCATCACCTAAAGGTCCTTTCGATACAATGAACCGATGCTGTGATTTAGATAGTATTGAAACCAAACGTTTCATTAGAGCTAAATCTGAACAACATATGGTTCCCATTGAAAGATATACTAATTTTCCCGATTTCTCAGACAATTCTTTTGGTATTTCAAAAGTATTGGTTGTATTATTGATTACATCTGATCTGATCATTGAATCGATATTAAAACAAAGCTCGGGATCGTTTGGTGCAATATCTTCGTAATTTAGTTCCAGAGGACACATATAGAGATTAAGAAAAGGTGACGGATTACTGAACCTAAATTTATTTTGAAGGGCTGGTGCGCCCACTGATTGTAACCATTTATTATACGACTCCCAAGAGTCAGAATAGGCATCAATTGCTTCATTTATAAACTCTTTCCATAATTTTTTATCACTATTTGTTGCATATCCTGAAAGTGAATTATATTCAATAAAATTTTAAAATTTAAAAAGCAATCTAAATGTCACACCTGATCCTCCCGGAGGTAGTCTCGGATCAGTCCAATAGTAAAGTGGATTACATGAGATGAGATCAATCCACGGAACACCTGCACTGACCACTGCTGGTATTGTTAAGAATGTGTCGGTTATTATTGCATCCGGTTTTATGGTATCAATGATTAGTTTGATTTTATCATTAGAGAGCCGAACATTTTCGGTAAGCGGTGGCCAACCGGGAGCTTCAAATGCTCGCAATTTTTCAAACGGAGACAACATTAGTATATTTGCTGACTCTCTCATCATTTCAATCCAAAACTTGTCTTTACTGTCAGTTTTATGTTTTTCAATATAAATCTGATAATCAAATCCCAAACCGGAGATCATATTTTTCCAATTTTGATTGACTATAAATACACAGTTATGTCCAAAATCGCGTAGTGTCTGAGCTAAGCCCACACATGCATTCACGTGTCCAAAGGCATCCAACGGAGCTAAAGCTATGGTATATTTTGTAGACATTTCCTTCAAATTTCTATAAATTAAATAATTTAAATAATTTTTTTAAATAACAATTTAGAAAATAATTTTTATTACTGCACATTACTATTGATGAAATAAAATATCTGAGTTATTCATAATAATTTATGACAACTTATAGTAATATTACATCTCTAATCAATATTATTACATTTATTGTACATTTATATTACTTGAAAATTGAATAAATTTAGTATAAAATATAAAAACTAACCTTCAATTCTATAATTTTTAGTGATTTTATTAAAATTTATTAATAATAAATTGTAAAATTCACAATAGTTTCATAAAAATATTTAGTGATAGATTTTTCAATTAATATATATTTGTAATTTAATATAAAGTATTTTACAAAATATTGTATTTTATACTTGAATTTATCTAAATTTTAATAATAAACTCTTAAAATATTAAATAATTTATTGATAAACCTATTTTAGATATGTGCTAATTGTATATTTCAAAAAAAATAATAAACTCGGACTTTAACACTAGAGATATTAGATATTAGTATAGTATGAATATCCCTATAAATCATTTCTGATGAACTTTTAAAAGTTTGTTTGAATATAAATATCAACAACTTATCCTTGATTTTAATAATTTTCAATCAATAATAATAATTTCAAATATTTACGTAATATTAAGTAATTTATAAATATGTTTAAAATAAATTTTATAATGAATATATAACTTCATATTATTGTATTAAATCAAATACTATTGATTTTTAATGAAAGAATATTTATGTTTGATTTTTGTTTAAAATATTTGTTTACTTTGTAATTAATAATTACTACATAAATCTTTGCCATTTTTAGAAATTAATGAAAAAATAATTATAATTATTTATAAAAATTATTTAAGAAATTATTGATATTTTTAAAATAAATAAAATTATTTTGCAAATCAATACAATATATTATATGTTTTAAGTATATCACAATTGATCACAAAAATACAAGAACAGTATTATATAGTATAACAAACAAAAATAATTATATTTTAAAGTTCATAAATTAAAGTTATATTATTAAAAATTAAGAAAAGTTAAATATACAAATAAAAATTAATTAATACTTACATATAATATGTTTCCACATTTATAATGAGTTACTAATTTATAAATATAGTCTTTAAACTTTGTTTATTCAATAAACTATAAAAGTAAAGATATATAAGTTATATTATGTTTATTTTATTATTTGATAAAATTGTAAATTTAAAAAACTCATTTTATTATTTTCATGAATAGTATAAAATGTATAAAATATAATAACATATATTTTGACAACTGTTTGTAATGGACAGTCGTCTTTCTTTTTATGCGCCTTTTAACATCTACCCGGCGCCTCCACCACTTGTAATGGACGGTATTTTAAGCCGACTGTTTACAAGGAACTATAGCTCAAAGCTCAGGTACTCACAGATCTAATTCAGACATTATGTCTGGTCTCGCAATATCGTAGTCGAATAATCACTTCCAATATATGTCACGCGTCCTCACGATTCCGATCTCTTCTGTAGCACTACTCGTAATCACACTATCACTTGATAGGCGTTCTATATCTTAACTCTATTAACAATCAATATCTAAATCACATCACATTTCGTTAACAATAAACCACTTTATTTATAATAAATTAAATTAAATAGTATACAAAATGATAATATATATAAAGATATTGATGTTATCTATTTGGGCTCTGAGTCCCTCTCTCTCTCTCTCTCTCTCTCTCTCTCTCTCTTAGGTCAGACCTCCTTAGGCCGCCTTCTCTGAGTCCTCACTCTCTTAGACTATCTTTTATGACTTCTCTCTTAGGATTCTAATTCTAGACTGACTTTACATTTCAATAATCAATCGCTTATATAGACATAAATTCATAATTGCATTAATCATTAGATTAGGAAATTTACAATAAATATTAGAAATCTGATTCAATATATAAAATATTTTAAATAATACTAATTATCATAACTTTTTCATTGAATTACTCGATATTAAACTTATATTATATGAATAGTTGATTCTCTGAATATTGAGTACTAATTATTAACTAAATATCGAATTATTAAACTTATAAATCATATAAAATATATTATAAACTCTTACTTTTAACTAAAATATGAATATTGATTGCTATTTGAATACTGAATAATCTCTTTGACTAGCATTTGACTCATTCATACTAAAAATAACCTCTAATTTTCAAATATCCATTACATGTTTCATAATAAACTGTATAATCAATGCATTTGTCGTATTCTGTATAGAATTTGAAGCAATGGTTTACAAAAACAATTATATTGCTATAAAAACTGTAATTGTTTACAATTTTGCATTTAAATTACAACTTTCATCTTTAGGATGGAGTTATAAATATATGAAATTTATTTAATAACTAGTGTATTGATTAATAATTTTTTATACTCTATTAAATAGTTGTTATAATAGTTGCCAAAAAACGTCAAATAGTTGTTAAAATAGTTATTTAAACTGTATTAAATAGTTGTATATAATTGCCAAAAAAGCCAAATAGTTATTGAAATAGTTATTTATTTTCTTATAAATACTTCAACTGATATATAATTCACTTGTTTTCAGCATATTTACAAAAATGATTTATATAAATAAACTAAATATTTCTATTGTTAAAAAAGTAATATGTGTTGATAACAGTTTACACATGTTATATAATTTATATAACTATTACTTTTTGTTTTTACATATATTTGAGCAATATTTTACAATCTAATGCTTATATTTTTCAAAATAACTGAAATAGTTATTTATAAGTTTTTATAGTTGCTAACCTAACAAATAGTTATTTATAGTTATAATAAAATTTCGGAAATAGCGTCCACTGGTCAACTTCGGTGGACATACTAAGTCCCAGTTATAAGCGTAAAACCGACAAAATAATTTTTTTAGTTGAAAATCAAGACACTATTAATAACTTAAAAAAATTAAAATTTACTAAACAAATACAGTATTGAAAATAATGTTTAAAAATTAAATAAAGTACAAGTAATACAATGTTGAAAATTTAGTTTATTTGCATTTTTCTAATACTATTGTAAATTACAATTTGTAATTATAATAAGAATTTATTTTTTCTGTAATTTTATTATTTAATTGATTGTAATATTTTTTTATCACTTATATTCTTAATAATTTATATTTATATTTATACACATTATAGCAATTCATCTTTAATTAGGATTGTATAACTAAACTACATTTATCTATAACTAATATACCATATATTATATACAATACAATAATATCAATTATATATTTTTTGAACTAAATTATTTGATAACATAAATAGATTAAACAATCTTTATTTAAATAAACTTAAAGAGATTAAGTAATTCATAGTAAAATAATTATAAATATTGTTTAATATATTATATTATAAAAAACAAATTGCAATTACATATAATTATTAATTAATATAGATAAATTATTTAACATTTATAGATTACAGCTGTATATCAGTTATCATAAACTTCTGTATAAACAATATTATGTAACTATTGTAAAAAATAATGACTTAAATATATAGATAAAATTAAAAATAATGCATTTTAAAATGCAAAGTAATTAAAAATATTGCACTTATAATAATCACAGACAATGTGATAGTGATCTTTGATAAGCAATCTCTTCGATGGCTTTATAAGAGAAAAAACTTCCTAAAAAAGAGCAAATATGAAACCACATATGAGAGTGAAATAAATCGCACCCTCCTATTAAATAGCGCTCAGGTATACGAGTTGTGTAAAAAATAGTGCCCAAAACGTAAAAGATATCCATTAATATTAAATTATTTGTGGCCAATGAAGTATCAATTGAATTCAATTTATCGGATGTAAACCAATAGATTTGCGGTATAACTGATGTAAAGCCAAATGAGAAGAAGATAATGGCTCTGAATGTACGAGAAAACGGTGTGTTTTTGTCAAATATTGACATATTATTTAAGATGAAACACACTATGAAAAAGATGGTCACAAAATTGATGATCCATTTAAACCATTGGTCGTCACAGTAAAAGGTAAAGTATGACAAACCGATTGCATTACCGTAAATGTGTACAGAAATGCCAATGTAATCGAGTTTAGCCACCAATGATGCCATCCTTTTTGAATGACACAGAAAAGTGTGGAAAGTTATTGAACCGTAAAACGATAAAATTGATCCCAAATATACCGATGAAAATATTATTCGATCCGCTCTAGTGATCAAAAATTCGGGAAATTGATTCATAAATATATAATTAAATATTATGGCCGCCAATAGATGTGACCAGATATTAGTGGTCTGATTGTGGACGCGAAACATTGACCACAAACATAGTTCATAAGATTTTAATTGTGGCCTATAGTAGAATCGGATAAATTCATTGTCTTTCATCCAATCGGGCAGATCTTCATAGGAGATGAGATCCCAATTAAACAATGACTTCTCATAACTATCCGAACCGCTTGTATGACATCCCGACTCATATGTTGAACAACTATTGTTTAGTCGTTTGCTTCTAACAGTCATTTTATGATTATAATCATCGGTAGAAATAATTAACGTATTTTTCACTTCCATTTCTATTTATAAATATTTATTATATATTTTTAGTATTAATTGTTTGATTGTTGTTTTTGAAAGTACAATATTATCCTTTTAAACCGGTATTCAATTTAAATGTTGATATAAATAAAAATTATATTACAGTTTAATTTCTTTGCTCTTCAATTACAATATAAAGCAATTGTTACTGTTTTTTAGTAAAATAAATACTTAACAAAAAATTATTAGATCTTTTTGTTGGGAATTATAAATATTTTAGAAGAATTAGGTTTATTGGGAACATTAGATTTGTGCTCTTTTGCACTCAATTTTATCACACCATTAGACACAACCAATAATAATCGGATAAAAAGCCCTTTGATTATACTGTATATACGGTATATATTAGTGGATAAATATAAGTATAATAAGTATTATGTTTATATAAATATTTAGTTTTATAAAATATTTGTTTGTGAAGTATTGTGTAATCAATTAATTAAAAAAACAACATTTTTTTCGATCCAAATAAACTTATATTAAATAAATATAATGTATACTGTAATTCATTTATATAAGGTATGATATTTTCATTTAAATTATACGTAAAAATTTTAATGATTATTATATTTTAAAATTATTATTATTTAACAAATAATTATTTTAAAACTATTGCATTGGATAAAGCATATAAAAATGTATAAAATAAAATAAAATAAAATAAAAATAAAATTATTTATAATAAATTAAAATTCAAACACAAAGAAAAATCATAGATATTTAAATGAATAGTTGATGATTACTATGTGTCAAGTGATGGTTAAAATACATATAAAAATAGTGTATTGTATGATATCACTGGAGGGGAACTACTAGTTTTCAAGGATAACAATTTGTCTAATAGTTTTTATTGCATAACTTTATAATCACTATAATATAAGCTAAATAATATAACTGAAGGGATAAAAAATTAATATAAAAATTAAAGTTAAAAAACATTTATTTAATAACTATGGGACAAGTGATCACATTATTACAGACTACACAATCATAATAATTAAATCAAAGTTACAGTTTATATATGAGTGTAAAAACTATTAGATATTTCTAGAAATGTAATTAATCTAAAAATACATATTATATGAAATCATTTACAGGAAATCATTAACAATTAATATTAGATATCTATAAACAATATAAATATATCTTAAAATTCATATTAAAAATATTGAATTTTGATAAACATTTAAATAATTAATTTAATGTAGAAATATGTTTCTACATAACTTTCTATGGAGTAATTCAGTAATTTGTTTTGATATGTCTTATAATTATAAACAATAGACAGACAAATATAAATTACTGCAAACATGAGATTATTAGTGGACAGTAATATTTAGGCAAAACACGAGTTCATTAATTAATTGCTTATTTATTTTGATTATAAGTTATACCGAAACAGCACTTCAAGTTTGCGATGACTTACACTTATCTATTGTTTAAACATTTAATAAACATTTAAAAATTATATATAATTTTTAATATTCACGTCACACTAGTTTTATTTTATTGATACTGTATTTATACATTTACTTAAATTAGCAAACAAAAAATAATTTATAATATTACTGCAATTAATTATAATATTGCATGTCAGTATAGTTAAGCAATTATACTGTACTATATTTTGTTTAATAAAGCTATTGATTACATCCAAGTCATACAATAATTTACAAAACAATATTGTTTGCGTCATTATTAATAATATTTATAAATGATATAAGTATTAGTAATATTTTTAATTAATTTTGTATTCAATAATTTGATTTATTTATATAATCAATATATATATATATATAGTATGATATATTATATACAGATTATTATATTTTAATTGGTATTTTTATATCCTTTGGTTACATTAACTATAGCACCGGCAACATAGCCGTGATCTACATTTACTTTAATGGGTCCCTTGTTTTGATGTTTTGGTTCAATTTTAATTGTAAATTTAGCTTTTTGACCTAGTACTATTTTTGTTTCATTACGTCCGGCTTCTGGTAAAATATCGACATCTATTCAAAAATAAAAATCACAAAAAATATTATTACTATTATTGATTGTATTAAGTATATTGAGTATCAATTGTTTGAATACAGTTGTCGCCCATCTGTTTGATTATTGTTTCAATCTCTTGGTCGGTCTCTTCTTGCATAACATATCTATTATATGAGTCGTCATCCGAGTTATTATCCGAAACAATAGTATAGAGAGCGGCGGCTCCGACACCAAAGGCTTCGCTAATGTTGACTACTTTGCCGTTGCTTTCAACTGAAACAAACTTAACTCCTTTGACTCCAACCGTAACTTTTATTTTTTTAGTTTTGTCTACAAATTCAGACAAAAAACCATTTTTGTCCAAATTATTGATGACATGAAGTGGCGCATTATGGGCACCGGTATGAGAAGCATCACTTGGTATATACTCATTTTGCATACTACAGTATATATGATTATATTGAATAATTAGCTAGATAAGTTGAACAATTTTATTATAATTTTAATATAAATACCTTTGCAAAATATTTGAGGCCAAAGTATGCAATTGGTTGTGCTGTTGATCCGAACCAACTTCATGGTGATTGTCAACACTCAGGGCTGATCCCATACAGATAACAAATACAATGTTATAATATAGCATTTTTAAAAATTATAAATTACTAAAATAATTTTAATTTGTTTAGCTTAGTGTCTATATTTTATATAAAATATTAAAACAATTTGTAATAAAAACGCCTATTAATTAAAATTGTAGGATTACTACCAAATTAACAAAATACTAGAGTAAATATTAAATTTATTGAAATACATTTCATTAAATAGTTTAATTTCAATGTCAATTCAAATTATTAGTAATATTGTATTGAAACAACTGTCAAAATTGTTTACTTAATCGATAACTTAATAAATTGATTAAATTGAAAAATAAAATATAACATTAAAAGTTCATATAATATGAATCATAAATTTATTTGATATATAATACTAAATAATAAAGATATTAAATAACTATTTTATTTAAATTTATTTAATTCATATGTTATTTTAAAAATAAACTAGTTTTGCCCGCACAGCATGTATAGTCGTGCAATTCTTTTGCTAATTTTAAAATACTTATAAGTAATTCGAATGATTGCCTAATTTGTTTTATATAACAAACTACTTAACCTAATGTAACAAAACTTTATAATCAATACACAATAATACGTCTAAACACTTGAGAATTTTAGATATTTATGTATATTTAAATAATTTTATAAAAATTTAAAAGTTTAATAATTTTTATGAAAAAAATTTGCATTTGAAAAAAATTACAAAATTTTTCGCTTTTAACTAACCTCCCGGTGCCCTGTGATTCATACAATATAGCAAAATGTAATAACACAGCACCTGCCTACCTGTCCATAAAGCCTAACTGAGCTCAATAATCATTTAAAATTTTCCATAGAAATAACATTGCTTTAAATTCAAATTAAAAATTTTAACACAAATTGAAAATTTTTGCATTTGAGAAAATTTTATAAAAATTTAGCACAGGTAGCTTACCTCCCGGTGCCCTGTAACTCATATAATATAGTAAAGTGTAATTACACGACACCAGCCTACCTGTCCCTAAAACCTACCAGTGCTCAATAAACATTTAAAATTTCTCATAGAAATTACATTGCTTTCAATAAAAATTGAAAATTTTTGCATTTGAAAAAATTTTACAAAAATTTAGCACAGGTAGCTTAGCTCCCGGTGTCCTGAGACTCATACAATATAACAATATGTTATTACACAGCACCTGCCTACCTGTCCCTAAAACCTACCTGAGCTCAATAATCATTTAAAATTTCCCATAGAAATAACATTGCTTTAAATTAAAATTGAAAATATAACAATATATTTTTAGCTTTGAATTAAAAAATGGTTGTTGAGGAAGTGTGCACACATACAAACAAACAAACAAACAAACAAACAAACAAACAAACAAACAAACAGACAAAACTATTATATTAAATTATAGAAGATAATATGTCTTTATTTATATAAAAATTTAATTATTACAATTTGTTTATTTTAGAAAATTTTAAAATATTGATATATTATATATCCATAAATATTTAATAATTTAAACAAACCTTATAAAATAAATTTGTATCTTCTATAATTTAATATAATAGTTTTGTCTGTTTGTTTGTTTGTTTGTTTGTTTGTTTGTTTGTTTGTTTGTTTGTTTGTTTGTTTGTATGTGTGCACACTTCCTCAACAACCATTTTTTAATTCAAAGCTAAAAATATATTGTTATATTTTCAATTTTAATTTAAAGCAATGTTATTTTTATGGGAAATTTTAAATGATTATTGAGCTCAGGTAGGTTTTAGGGACAGGTAGGCAGGTGCTGTGTAATAACATATTGTTATATTGTATGAGTCTCAGGACACCGGGAGCTAAGCTACCTGTGCTAAATTTTTGTAAAATTTTTTCAAATGCAAAAATTTTCAATTTTTATTGAAAGCAATGTAATTTCTATGAGAAATTTTAAATGTTTATTGAGCACTGGTAGGTTTTAGGGACAGGTAGGCTGGTGTCGTGTAATTACACTTTACTATATTATATGAGTTACAGGGCACCGGGAGGTAAGCTACCTGTGCTAAATTTTTATAAAATTTTCTCAAATGCAAAAATTTTCAATTTGTGTTAAAATTTTTAATTTGAATTTAAAGCAATGTTATTTCTATGGAAAATTTTAAATGATTATTGAGCTCAGTTAGGCTTTATGGACAGGTAGGCAGGTGCTGTGTTATTACATTTTGCTATATTGTATGAATCACAGGGCACCGGGAGGTTAGTTAAAAGCGAAAAATTTTGTAATTTTTTTCAAATGCAAATTTTTTTCATAAAAATTATTAAACTTTTAAATTTTTATAAAATTATTTAAATATACATAAAAATCTAAAATTCTCAAGAGTTTAGACGTATTATTGTGTATTGATTATAAAGTTTTGTTACATTAGGTTAAGTAGTTTGTTATATAAAACAAATTAGGCAATCATTCGAATTACTTATAAGTATTTTAAAATTAACAAAAGAATTGCACGACTATACATGTTGTGCGGGCAAAACTAGTTAAGATTATGATTTTAATTGCATTAATATAACGTTAATATTTTTGTGTTGTATAAAGAGTCAGTTTGTATATAATTAGTAATTAAATAAAACTTAAATATTTTTAAAATGTATTAAAATTAAAAGTTATTAATTGATATAATATAAATTGTTATCTCAATATAAATAATATGTTATATAATTTAACAGTTTACTATTAAATATTTTTAAATATTTTATTGTAAAGGATTTTATTGAAAATATTTAGTACACCCAACCCTTTAACAATTATATTAATAATTGTTTAAAAATTTGAATTAGAATAATATAAATTTTTATATTCTTGAATCTTAATGACATAATTACAAACATTGAAAAGTTATATCATTTTACTGAATGTTGTCAATGACTTATCGTTTTATTAGATTACAGTTGATTTCATATAATCTAACCAACACTTAATGCAACCATAGTTTTCAACGATAAACAATGATTCATAATTCTGTAATCAAAAAAGTTTTTGTTATTTTTTTGCAATAATTACTTATTGTGTTTGCTTTTTATATTATAGTAGTAAATGTGATATTTTTAGATTACATAAATATAATAATTAAATGTTGTATTGAAAAATTCAGTACATATTACAGTATATCAGTATTTGATACAAATTGAAATTATTTGTATCATTGAAACTGCTTAATATTTGTTAAATCTAATGATTAAAATAAATTTGATATAAAATTTTTTATAATATCTAATAATTATTTTTTTTCAAAAAATGTTCAGTGAAGAGCAAATTAATAATAAACAAGTTTTACAAACAAATGCAGATATTATCATAAATGATGGTTTTGATGGTCCAACTAATGACAATAAAGACAGTGATGATTATGGAGAAAACCAATCGATTGTAAGACAACAACCGATCAAAACATTTGACACTTTTAATAATGAAATCACAGAAATCAATGATAAAAGTGAGTCACGAGAAGATATAAGAGAAAGACAAGACATAAGAGATCGCACCAAATATGGAGATCTGTGTATTGTCTGTGGATCTGCTTTTTGTATTACTGTATGTTTCAGATGTGTCATCGATTGCTGTATTATTGCATGTATTCAAACTATTTGCAGTGGATGTAGGGTTTGATATATTAATAAAGATTTAAAATTAAATTAAATTTGTCGATACAATCAAATAAATTATACAATTTTAAAAAATTAGTCATTAATTGTCTGTTTTTCAACAAATTATTTGTGATTTACGTTAGATTTTAAAATCCAAATCTCATTAATGGATTTATATCCTTAAAAACGCAAACCTTATTCACATTTACTATGATTTCAGTGGTAATACTTAGTGAACTGTAGTCTTCATCCATGTGTTGTCAATATTTGTCGGATCGAAACCATTCATTGGTTTAATTTTTTATATAACTTTAGTTGTTATATATATTAATAGATAATATAAAAAATAAAAGCTAAGGATTGTAATACTGACAAACATTTCTTAATAAATAACTTAATATTTAATATACAGTATATTTATCATTTAGATGAAACTAAATTTAGTATTTATTTTATTATTTGTTTTAAAAAATGATTTTAACTATTTATATATTTTTTGTTTTGATAAATATTTAGACCAATAACCAAACAAATAATTTATTGAACATTTTAATGTTAGTTTAATTAATAATTATAGTTATTAGTAATTAGTAGTAAAATACAAACACTGACTACTTATTAATAATTATATATAACTAAAATTAAATAATAATAATAAATAATAAAAATTGATTATATAAAAATATTATAAATATTTTAGTAATTTTTAAATAGTATTTAGAATACTTTAGTTAATTTACAGTAGTTGTATATAAATTATTATATTAAAAATATTAAAAATGACATAAATTAATATTTTAGAAATCCATCTGTAAAAATCATGTATTAGAAATCATAAAAATTAAATTAAATAATCAATTATGTCTATATTAATCATATAAGTACTCCATATATACAATATATTGATATTACATTTAATTTATATAACTTAAATGTTTGCTTTTTAATAATAATTAAATTGTGTTATTAGTAAAACATACCAAACAATGGAAATATATAAACTATTTTTTACAATTGTTATTACAATAAGTTTGACTAATGTTTTGGAATGTCTTCCAGTAATCAGTGGTTTATTGTCAGGTGTGATAAATATTTATTTTTAAAAAGTCTATATCATGTTAGCTAATAATATAAATTTAAAAATGATCAAGGTGGTCAATCAGGATCTAATGAGACATCATCGTCACCATCGGGTGACTTACTCGGTGGCGGTGTAATCGATAGTTTAACCAATACACTGGACGGTGTGGTTAAAACAATTCCAATCGTCGGTGATTTAGGCGTCGGAAGTATCATTAGTGGACTCGTTAAGACCTTACTCGGCTTATTAGGAGGTGTTGGCGGTTTAGGCGGCTTATTAGGAGGTGGTGGTGTAGGCAACTTATTAGGAGGACTGACTGGTGGTGGTGGTGGTGGTGATGGAGGTGGTGCAGGACTTCTCGGTTGATTTTGTTGTCATTAAGCTATTTATAAATCAATAATTTATGTTAGATAAAATAAGATTATATTTAATATATATTAATTATGACTTACTTATTTTACTAATAAATAATAACAATTTTTGAGTTAAATGTGTATATTCAAACAAACTCTGAAAAAATTAGTTTTCTGGAATATAAGTGTATGTGTGTCTGTTTGTGTGTCTGTTTGTGTGTCTATTTGTGTGTCTGTTTGTGTATAGCATTTCATTTTGCGAATTTTAAAATTCTGACTTCAGATTCGGTCAGAGTATGAAATCTAAGATATAAGAGTTTAGCATAAAAAATGAGAGGTGACTAATTTTAAACTAAATAAGATTGTAATTGATCATTTTTTTAATTAATTGTATGTTTGGCCAGATATTATTTAGTCGACTGTTTAAAAATAGTAAAAATTATAGTCAACTGCAATTATCATACAATTATTTAAAAAATGACCAATTACAATCTTATTTAGTTAAAAATTATCTACAACTTTGCCCTTGGTCACTTTTAAATTCAACGTATTATTGGCCAGATAATTGAAATTAATAGCATTGCCACTATCATCGCAGCCGCCGCTGTTTAAGACTCTGTGGAGTATTTTATTATATATACGAAGTAATTTATATCATCAAAGTTTGTTTCTGGTAATGCTATATAGTATTCTCACTGGTTTTATACTAAATTTTAAATATTAATAATCAGTTGTATAAAAAGTTTAATTAAATGTTCCTTAAAATTGCTTTAAAATGGGTTAATAAGTTAAATAGTCTTATAAATCTACTAATTATTTATATATTTATTGTAAAATAGATATTATACAGTATATACAGTATATTATGTATATCCATATTTATTATTACATTATATGGAGTGATAGTGTAAAATTTAAATTGTATTTTTTTGTATTAAATAATATCAACATTAAAAAAAATATTTTTTTATAATAATAAATAATAAATTAAGTAATATGTTATACGGCACAGGTATTTTACAAATATGTGTATAAAAAAGTTAAAAAATCATCGGCTGTACTGTATATTGTGATACGGAGTCTAAAATAAAATTAAGTATTAATACTATTAATTCAAGTTGTATTCAAATATTACAATTAAATTATTAATTAATGATTTTGTTATAATAAAAATAATTCAAATATAAATTATTGTCATTAGTTTACAATATGTCAATAATTAAGTTTTTATCTAATATTTAAATATAATAATTTTTTGCCTAAATAAATTAAACTGTATTTAACGTTTTATTTTATTAACCATCTTATGACATCAATATAATGGCATACATATTGATTAATAATTAATTTTTATAAGCATTTTACCATATGTTTTGGTTAATATTTTAAATAACGACACAGATTTTATGTCATTTTTATATATACTGTACAACATATAAGTATTATATATATTATTTATATTAAAAATTGTATGTACAGTATTATATTACCATAGACAGTATGCATAAGATCAGGGCTAAGCAAGGTTTTGGATCTTATGGGGGGTATGGGGGTATGAGGGGTGAAATGGAAAAATCACAAAAAATCTTAGGAAATATAGAGTGTAGTGTTTAATTTTAACAAAATTTAAACAAATTTAAATTCAACAAAAGGTAAAACTCATTTTAAAATTACAATTTTTCCTATTTGGTCAAAAAGTTTGTGTAAAATCACAAAATCTTCCTCTAAGAAAAGGGTATTTTTTCTATACACCCCCTACCCTTCTTTCTTAACCCTGGTATAAGATATACATTTATAGAGTATATTTAACACTATATTTAAGTATATATTTTTTAATATAATAAATACATTAATTAAATTGTTGACCACTTGACTAATGCTTTTGTTAGTCTTTTGTAGTAAACATTAAATATAACTAATAATATTATATATTTATTTAGTCCCTTGATTTAAATATGTTAAACAAATTGTGGATTAGTTTATATTTATTTGGTATATACTTAATCATATTAATCAATATGTTGTCCATACGGTGTGCCTCAAGAAACTCAAATAATTTGTTGGGAATTAATCAAAACATAACGATCAGCGAATTGCAAGAAACTATCGGTAAAACATTAGAGTCAGTGATTGGTTCGGTACCAATAATTGGTCCGTCGGGTAAAACTTTAATAACATTTATTACTACTACATTGGGTACGGTTACCAACTTATTATCAGCAGTGGGATTCATTCAAAATTTAGGATAATTGACCTGTCTTAAATACTACATATACTATATCAACTATATTGTATTAATCACTATAATTGTTTGTTAAATAATTGTAAATAATTATTTATTATTAAAAACAGTAATATTTATAATTTTAATTATAGAGATTTATTTTTTGTATTTAATAATATGTAAAGATACCATAATAAAATCAGTCTGAAAACAATAATATATTATAAAGCATTATAAATTATTTTAAATTTGTAAAAATTGCAACTTTACATTAGCTGATATCTATAAAGCTGATTAGTCTCTCTCTCTCTCTCTCTCTCTCTCTCTCTCTCTCTCTCTCTCTCTCTCTCTCTCTCTCTCTCTCTCTCTCTCTCTCTCTCTCTCTCTCTCTCTCTCTCTCTAGCCCTCTATTTCTCTGTAAAAATGCTTATATAATATAGAGAATACTCAGATATTTATATCTCCCGTTTCATTTGTATACAGTATAGTTAGGATTACGCGATTAAATGTCCCAATTATTGGTATATTATCTATAAGTGTGGTCACTCTCTACTCTACTATTCCTATCTTGCGGTACCTTATGATGAGTATTACTGCTAAATATTAGACAACAAAATATTGCAAAATCAATGTATTAATTGTGTCAAAATTTGTGACCATATGTTGAAAAGTTTTGCCGAATAGTATATCTTTTTGATTGATTTTTTTGTAACTTTATTATAAATAATTTAATTAAAAGTATAGTTATTGGATAAATTTATTTGGCAAATCTATTTCTACGATAATTATTATAATAGTCATATAATGGTTGCATTTTATAAGTAAAACTTGTATTATCTTAATCTGAGTTAAACATTATTCCCGTCAAACACCTGCTCTCTATCTATAGCCCATCCCCTAATAAAAGTCATATATTAGATGTGGATTAGACAGTGATTCACACTTATATTTGGATACCGATTAAATAAATAATCTAATTTTATAACGTTATATCATTATTTAATATTATAGTTATTTTTTGATAGAAAATCACCTGCTTTTACATTTTAATATAACAATTGTTATTATAGTTAAACTGTTATTACCTACTAATTTGCCAATAAATGTCAAAACATTTTTTTTCGTTATGAGTTATTGTTTTGTACAAATATTATGTAACTTATATAAAACTGTACTTTTGAATCATACTATTTTAATAATATATTAGTAGATTTAGATACATAAATAAATTTATGTTTCACACGATTTTATATATTTTAAATATTTATTATAATTTCTTTATTTACTTACATATCAATATGTTTTGTTACATTTTTTTATGGAAATGATAATTTTGATAAAATAATTTTAAATTAAGTCATAGCTTATTAATATAATGTTTTTATAATACCGGGTACTATATGAATAGTATTTTTATATACTGGCAAGTATATTACTAGTAAATTAATTTTAAATATGTTAATTTCATAAATTATAAGTTAATACATATCAGTAAAAATGTTATAATAAAAGTTGAAATTAACGTATTTTGTTAAATATTAATATAAATATTAAATTAAGTGTTGAGGTATTTCAATTGATTATTTAGATATAAATTAATATTTTATACATATATATCATGTTATATAAAATCATTGTCATAACCCCTTAAACTGATTTTTACTCAATAACTTTTAACACAATTGAGCAAGATAACCAAAATTTTTATGAGAAACGTGGATCAATTGTGCTAAAAGTTATTAAGTAAAAACTTGTTTAAGGGGTTATGACAATGATTTTATATTAATGATAACTTATTTGATGAAATATATTAAACATTAAGTTTGCGATTCAGTGTTGAACTGTTGTTTAGTGTAATTACAAGTGGAACAGTTGGACACATTCAGGTGCTGAGTAAAGGGAGGACCCGACAGATATCTAGTGGCAAAGCGAATATATGTCAACAAAAACCTATTGATGGGTATGAGGTGTGATGTTATGATACCTCACCTATACTGGTGTTCAACGATTGCTTTTTCAATGCGCTTATCCTTTGCTCGTCTGTTTTGAAACCAAATCTTAATCTGATTTTCACTCAAATCCAAGAGCTCTGCCAATTGAAATCTCTTTCCTCGTGTGATATATTCGCTGATGTGATACTCCATCTCAAGTCGAAGTGTCTGTTCGTGAGTAAAAGTTGTCCGCTGACGCCGTGGCCCCCGATTTTGGCGCTGTTGTGATACGAGATAACGCCTCAGTTGGGCCGGGCTTTGAGCTATAATTTAGTGGTAAAGAAATTAATAATATCTTATTTATTATGCAATCGATTTGCTTTCATTAAATAATAATCATATTATATGTGCAATGAATAATATATCCGATTATTTAAAGTGACTCTAAATGACTATAATTTGAAGACCAAAACAACAAATATGTTTTCCTTTAGAATTAATATCAAATTTGTGCCATAAATTAGTGAACAAAATATTAGAGTCAAACCCATAAACAATTGAATAGTTATTAATTATATTGAAAGACGATATATATATATATATATATTTATACCATTCAACAGATGCTTATTATAATCTGAGGTTTTTTGGTGGCTTCAGTATAAATCAGAGCCGGAAATACCTGTGAGTGAGTGAGACTACAAAATCTTGCAAATTAGAGCACCGGAAGCGTAATGGCTCACAGATTTTGATGTGTAAGCTTTAAGTATAGGCGCGTGCGATACGCGAGGCGTTTGGCTGCAGGCTATTACTACCTATTGAGAGTTACTACTCTTCCCTTTAAACTACACGTTCCTCAGCGGAAGCAAAAGTAAAAGAAAGGTATCATCACTATTATGACTACTATTACTGTCCTATAGATATATTACCGATCATTGTTTGACATCCAATAGAGCGCAACAAAAAAGCTTAAACTTTTTCCGTTTAAGCTTTTGTTGAAAAGTAATTTTTATTTATTATTATTATTTATGATTTCTAAATTTATATTATAATTTAATATAATGTGATATATTGGTTTAAACAATGCAATTTGCATTGATAATCTGATGGTACAGTTAGTTCAATGCACTTACTCTATAAAGGTATTAACCAAATAATAATTATAAATTAAATTTAAATGAGTAATTAATTAATTTTGGTTAAAAGTGATTTAATAAAAATATTGAAATTAGTAATGAAAATTAATAATGCGTTTTAAATTTAATGATTAACTTTGACAAACTAAACAAATTTTATAATAAAACTAAATATTGAATAAAAAATTAAAAATCTGACTTAAAAATACTCAAGTCTTGTTTTAATTCAAAGTTTTACTGTAATTTTTGTCAAAACTATATTATTCAGGCAAATAATGAGAGTTATCAACCTATCGATATGCAATGAAATGCATATAATATAATATATGATTTATCATAGATTGCTATTCAAAAAACAGAAAATTTTCAGACATATGACTTACCAGATGAGCGGTGATAAAGTAGTCCGCGGGCTAACCAATCTATTGCTAGTCCTCCACCACTTACGTTGTGATCTTTGTTATCATGAAATGGTGAGCGAAAAGCGCTGTTATGTATCAAAGCAGTTACTGTAGCGGATGGCGAACCATTAGTACCGTTACTTATGACTTGATGTCCGTGACTCTGGTTATACTTTGCTGAATATAAAGGATGTGCTGAAGGATTAGTGGATGAAAATAAAGAAGACATAACAGCAACGGCCGCGTTGTTGTGATGAGAGTTAAGACTTGTGGCTAATGAAGAGCCCATTTGAAGATTTGATGATCGCAAAGACCACGGGGGAGACATTGGAGGCGTTTTCACGTTTATATCTCTAATATGTTCACTATCATCAGGTGCTTCTCGAGAACTGGTATGTAGTGTACCGTTCATTAAGACCGGATCTGACTTAGGACTCGTTGAGGATCGGGCGTCGTCGGCACTCAGTGATGGTGATGCCCGTGAACTGGAACTCAATGATGTAGACGATTGTGGCCTATCTTCTCGGGCCAACAGATCATCAATACAGAAGTTGGAAGCGGAGGACTTGGATGTAGTCATGTTTGTAGGCGAGAGTGTCTCTGACTCGGAAGCAGAAGCACTGTTAGGTTTATGAGAGTCAGGCGATAACATAATCTTAACTATGATTGACAACGACTTTATATAAGAGTTTAATTGATTTTTGAAACTCTAGTCAAATGTTTTTCGGATTGTTTCAAAAACAACAATAACTCTCTATTAGACACAACATTACAAAGTGTATCAAACAATTGTATCTTTTAATCGCATCTTTCAATGCTCTCAACTCACCATTGGATCGGTTAAACTCCGCCTCCAGTCAAACAATTATTGAGATAATATGCGCTAAACTGGACTCAAATACCAATGTTAGGCAGTTATCCATTGTATCACTGAATCAATTATGATTGTACTGTAAAATTGTCACTTTTACTATATTACCAAAAAAAATTATGATATTATTTTATCTTTTAATACTTGGTCAGCAACTTTGGTTATATTTGATAATAAAAATAATATTTTTTATAATCAATTTATTATAAAATATTTCAGTTCATTAATCTTGTTATTACTTAATATAATTTCGATTAAAATAAACTATTTTATAATTTAATAGAATTAATCTATTGTATATTATACAGTATTATATTGCTATATAGTTTACAAATTATATTAATTTTATAATCGTTAATTAATTTTTGTGTTATTTTTAAATTTTATTATATTTATATTTTATTTTTTAATAAAAATGTTCAGCTATTTTTTAAAGATTAGAATACTTTATTCTTTTATACTTTTAATAATTAATATTTTAATTTAACATTATAGTAATAAATATAAATAAATATTATATGTAATGATTGGTATATTAAGACAAATACATGTATAATATAATTGAATCATTGTATTTAATATTTTATTTGTATTTTAAGAATATAATAAATTATTTTAATATAAAAAATATAGTTATAGTTATGAAAATAAAATTATTGAAATAGTAAATATTATAATAATATTAATGTTTAAAATTTTTATTTATAAAGCAATCATTATATTCAAAACAAAATATATTATATTGTGAATATTATTTGATATGATTTGATTCATAAAAATTGTAAACTATAACCTGTCATTATTTTTGTCATTTAAATATTTCAAACAAAATGTATATTTTATATTCAGTATCATATTTAATATAATGCATAATACAAGTTATAACATGCAATATTTTCAGTATATTGTTTATTGAAAAAATAAATGCACAACTTTAAAATTATATATTATTTAATAAAAAATTAATAAAATTATTTTTTATGCATAATATATATATATACTATTTATGTATTCTATTTGCTAGTATTATTCATTAATATTTTTCGAGTTAATTATATAAAAATATAATAATAAACTATTTTAATGGACAATATAAAATTATTGTTATATAAATTGACCAAAAAATAATAAAAATAACATTATAGGGCCAAAACAATATATGATATAATATAAATTTATGACCATTTATTTTTATTATTGTTATTTAAACAAAATAAAAACAAAATAAATCAATGATTAGTAAACCTATATGAGAGTAATTCTGTCAATTTATATTTGTAGACAAAAAAATAAAAAATTAGTAAAATGTCAGTTAAGGATGAGTTGTGATCGAGGAGAGAGTGGATGCTTTGAAATATGGACATCACTATTGTATATTGGATTTGATTGACCGGTGCCGCCCCTCTAGAGTTAATAGACTCTCAAACATTTGTGAGATTTAAAGCACCTGAAGTTATTATAATACATACAATCTGTATATATATTGGATCAAAATTGATGCGATTGTATGGTCCCATCAATGTCTATGCGTGCACTCTATTACCAATGCATGTGAATTAAATACATTGGTTTAATATCATAGCATATATTATATACAATATTAGATTGCATTGTGTTTTAATAACATCTTTTTGTATACAATTTTTATCCAATTTTTTAAAGATTTTTTTATTTGTTGTTGTAAATTTAAAAATAAAAATAACTCAAATTATCTTAATAATCTTCAATATAAATTAATTTATTATATGATAATACAATATTAAATTTATTTATTGATATATCAATTAATGACATGTTCTTTAGTATTATTTTCTTTATTTGATTAATATTATTATATTGAACTTTATTATTGCACAAAATTATACAATATATAAATAACATGTTATTTCTCTTTTTTAGTAAATTGATTAACTCTAGCCGTTTTATTATCAATATTTATAAATATTAAATTTTATAAACATGTAAAATTATTAATTAAAAATGAGTTACAAAATTTACGTATCATAAACACTACTAAATAAATAAAGTTAAATTTTTAGAGATTTAATAAACTTTATTTTAAAATTATTTGTTATTTTTCAATAATAAAAAATGTATGAATTTATTTATTAATTTTTATATTTATTAAAAATATATAAATTTATTTTTATTAATTTATAATCAACAAATTACACTGTAATATATATTTTTGTAGTTTTTTAAATATAAGTTTTATGTAATAGATTGTATGCTTTATATCAAATGAGATGCCATATGATGTTAAACTATAATTTTTTATTAAACATTTTGATTGCTGTGAGAATAGGCTCACCTGGAAATTGATAAACAATTATATTATAGGATATCTAATCACAAAAATAATAATAACATTTATAAGAATTAAATGTAAATTATATTTTTTAGCAAATATTAGTGTACAGTATATAAATGTTACTAAAAAATATATATTAAAATATTTTAATTTATAAATTACTATAAAGTTTAATTATTACTAAAATAATAGTTAACAAGCTAATTGAATATAAAATTCATAAAATTTTTAAATAATTAAATATATAATTATTATTAATTATTATTAACAATAGAATCTATAGTATAGATTTTTTAGAAAAAAAACTTTTTGTAAAATATAAAATACGTTATAATCTGACATTTTACTAATTTTATATTATATTTTTCATTGCATTTTAATAAAATTCATGATATCTATAGAAAATTGATTTGTTAAAATATAATTTAGTTATGGGAATTAATATATTAAATAAATAACAACAATTTTTATATAATTATCCAAATTATAAAATTTTATAATAGTTTACTTTAGCTTATTTTAAAAAATTACAAATATAGTTGCGTTATACTTTTATATTGTACAGTATATGCAATGAAGATTTAATGAAAAAAATTAATTTACAATAAATATATCTAAATTCAAAATAAATTAAAATTATGTTTCAATATATTTATTATTGTAGAGTTAGACAATAAACCCATTATTGTCACTAAACTTTACTATAATTTAATTTTTAGTTAATTATAGATTTATCAATAAATAGTATCCCAAATAGCATCCAATTCATTGTCATTTGTTTAGTCATTGAACATCAAAATTGCTGCAAATTTTCATATATTGAATATATTCTGTTAGTTTCACACCTGGATATTGAAAGGTATGTTTCAAAAAAGCCCTCACATGGAGTAAAAACATATTAACAACAGTTTTTAAAATTATTGTAATACTAATACTCTCTATCTCTTCTCTGTGAATCACTTTTTTTGAGTCCCTATTATAGCGATCACTAATTTTCACTATATTATTATCTATAAGCTTATGGATTACCATTGATGATCGCACCACAGATTTGTTTAGCTATTGTTTGAGTGAGTGTGCAATGCATTGAATGCATGGTTTCGGCTCATCAGTCAAGCGATTCATTTGATCAGTCGCTCTCCAAAAGCCTCACCTCTATTATGTTAGGCTTATATAGTACTGGCTATTAGGTTCCGGTCATAACAGCAATAGTATCTTTAAATATATTTCACATTAGTTTTGGCAATTTTTTTAAACTAATGTACAATAAATATGTGTTAGAGTTATGACATTTTCAATGATCACTTATTTTCACTATTGAAAGTTGAATAAAGTTAAGTAATTTACTTTAATAATAAAGTTTTATGAATTAAAATTACTGTAAGCTATTTGCTGATGTTTTATTATTGAAAAGTCAATCAATTGTTTTACTATATTTATTATGCAAATTGATTTCCTCTAAAATAATAAATTACTAGTACAAGTACAGTATTATTCAATATATTTTTTGTTAATTTAATACTATATTAAACAATATTCCTAAATGTAAAGGAAATACATTAGTCAATCAAATTTAATATATTTATATCAAAAATCTGTTTATTAATATTATAGTTCACCAAAACTAAATATTTTATTAATATCAGACAAATTAACTTTGAAATAATATAAATGCTAATACAATATCTACAGTGTTTCTACAATTTATGTAAATCTTAAAATTTAATACAAATAGTTTAAAAATAAGAAATATTAATTATAAACTAAAATGTTTTTAGAATAGAATTATCAATTATTACCAAATTGATTACCATGGGTTATCAATAGAGATGGGCAAATAGAAAGTTTCTAATAAATTTTGAGAAAGTTTCCAGAAAATTTCTTAGAAATATATTTTTACAGAAAATTAACTTTATTGTTATACTATGGGATCCCCGTATCTATAGCTATTGTAATATTATATTAATGAGACATAATACATATGTACTATACATATAATATTATAAATTTACTACATATATTATGGTATAGTACATTACTATACAAAATGGGATACCTACGGTATATACTGTATAAAATAATTATAATTATTTAATAATAATTAGTTTTGTAAAAATGTTATTAATCATTTTATTATATATATCATAGTTTAATATAATTTGATTAATTAATTTTTTACTTTAATTAATAATTAAAATACAACTATAAAAATAATATTTAATTATTATTTGTAAAACAATGTATTGTTACAAGATAACAAATATCTAGAGAACAAAATTAACATTGGGATTCCATAGATAGAAATTTCTTTTAGAAAGTTTCTAGAAATTTCTCTATTATTTTATAAATTTTTCTTTTTGCCAACATTATTTGTTAAGTTGATTAAAATATTATAATAGTATAACTATCTCATTATCATGTAAACAAAATTAATAACGATTTAGTAAAAAATATTATATAAATGTATTTGTAATTAATATTAGATAAATTTCGCATTGAATTAAAAAGAGTTAATTATAAATTAATTGTTGTCAACGATAAACACATAAAAAATTTAATCAAAATAAGTGTGTTATTACTAATACATTTTATAAACATACAAATACTCTATTTTCTAATTAAGTTAACGAAAACATGAATAAAAATATGTAAAACACCTTTAAATACATTATTTATTATTAGTGTTATAAATATTTATTGTTTATTTAATTTCATTAAGGTAAATTTTTATTTTCAATAATTACTAAAATATGCTTAGATATGTTTAGACTGATAATAACACTTTATATCAAAATGTCTAATTCATTAATCAAAGAAAACAACTCTAACTATGTTTTATTATTATTAACAGATTTACTCTAAAATGCACATAATTTAGTTAAATTTTTTTAGAATAAGAAAAATTGTCATTGTTTCACCCAGGTGCCTTAATTTTGATAGTAATTTAAAAACAAAAGTTTAAAATTATAAAATAAGTTACATTTTAAAATTTATATTCTAAAAAATATAAATGTTTACAAAATATATAATTATATAAAAAATAGTTATTTGGCTTAATTAATAATTCTAATAATGTAAAGTCAAGTTCCTTAAATGTTTATAAACAGTATATATAACATAATATATGCTGTATTTTATATAAGCTTAATATTATATTAGTAAATAATATGATACAATATCAATACGCAATTATTTATAAGTTTTATTAATTGTAAGTTTATTAAAATTATTTTTAAATTTATAAACTTAGTTTAACAAACAATATATAGTATTTTACAAATTGTCTGTATTATTAGTTGACGAGCAATTAAAATGAGTTAATTGTAATTGATTTGTTGATAACCAGGGACGGGACCATACTTTGACCAGACATATCTCACTTTTCTATTAATTTGATTGTAATTATTATCAATAATTTTTCAATTACTATTTGATTATCATAATTATAAAATTAAATTGTTAGTAAAAATAAGTGTAAATAAATACCCGGACACTATCGCATCCATTTGTTGATGGCTTTCCTTTTAGACAATTGGTTTCATTGAATTCAAATGTCAAATAATACATATCTCCGGACACGACTTGTTGTTGAGCTTTCAATAAGTGGTCGATTCTGTGAACATATATTGAATTTACTGAACTATCGAGCATTTCTTCACTGAAAGATACTATTGGTATGAGTTTCGGATCGTTAACATCCATGTCTGAGATACCTCCGGGCATTGATTGTGAATTACACTCTAATGTAATACATATTATTACACCAAACAATAGCATAATATGTTTCATTTTTTTATTTAATTTTTCTTTAATAATACTTTATATTAAATTAAACGTTTTACAAATTATATGGATATTTATATACTTTTATAAAGTAAACATCAGATTATATTTTCATATCAACGTCTATTTCATAATATTAATACTACTTTTCATAAAATGTTAACTATGACGTTGGTAAATATTTATATTTTTATCATACACAAGTATTAAACAAAAAATAATTTATATTTAATACTGTAAATATGATAAAACAACTGTACATTAATTAGTAATTTATATAAATTATTTTCATAAACTAACAATATTTAAAATTGTGCCAAATTTTTAAAATAATAATTTAATTAACACAAATATAATATTTTTTATGTTATAAAAAATTAGAACTTATGATTGTATTATTTTTGTTATTCTGTATTAAAATAGATAAAAAAATCCATTTAGTAAAAAATAATAAACAATATTATTCATTATACAGTATTATTAATATCTGATAAATAAAAAATAAATACACGTATATTATACATTGTATAATAGAAATGCTATATCATTATAAATGTTTAAACACTTAAGAATTGTATTATTTTTAGTTATAATAATTTTACTGAAATTAAAGACAAATTTTCTAACTTTAATGTCTAATAATAATAATTTTATAAAATGTTAATTTAAAAAATAATATCTAATAGCTGTTAACTAATTTAAATAAATACTTTTAACAAAGTTCTCAAATTTTCAAAGATCACTATTAATTTTCATTTTTTGTTATAACCGTTAGCTTTTACATAAAAATAATTTCAAATTTAATATTTAAATTTAATAATAAAGATAAATCATTCATAATTACATATTTTCACTAATTAAACAATTTATATGTAATGGAGGAAAAGAAAATCTTGTAAAATTTACTTTTAAAAAAATTAAATTTAAAACAAATTTATAATATAGTGTAAAAATATTTAATGTTACTAAAATAAGTCTTACATCACTAGTTATTTTATCATTATTTAATTAATTATAACAAACGTTTTCAATATAATGATAATCATTTTCTTTTATGATATTGGAAATAAATAAAATAAATAAAATAACTAAAGTATTAAGTTTACATAAACTTAGTAACAAATGTTTTTCAATATTATATACTGATTTTTATTTATACTATATTTTTATTAAATATATACCAGTATATATATATAATACGACATAGTATATTATATTATTTTTTTAATTTATTAGTTACAATATATATTTAAATATATATACAACTCATTAAATACAAAATATACAAAATTATTTAAATAGTTTGATTGACACTCCAATAATAACATTTTTCTTACAAATTCACTACAAATATTCAAAAATAAAATCTATAAATTATTAATTAATTTATTGATAACAACGATAAAATATAATTACAAATATTATATGTCATTAATAAATAATAAATAAACCTATTTTATTTTCATGTCTATTTATCAATTAATTATATATAATAAATTAAAAATTATTGTTTATTTATTTTAGTATTATTGAGCATTTAAAACATTTTATTGATTAAAGCACTATTACTCTATAATATCAAAATTGACCAAGTTTAATAAGTAAATCTCTTAAATTATATTATTATTATTATTATTATTAAACATATCAATTTTATGAAAATACAATACATTAGTTTTAATAAAAATAACTTTATTAAATAATTTTAATTAATTTTCCCCTAATTACAGGGATTAACAGTACAGTAATGTTAACTTATAGATTAAAACATATAATATTATTAATAATTTTAATAATTTGGAACAAATCTATATTATAGACAGCCAGTAGAAAATTATTTGCCCCAAACCCACTCCCACCCACCCAACCACTTCCTAACCTCACACCCATCCCAGACTAACCTAACTAAATAATAATTAATAATAAAACTAACATTTAATTTCAAGTATGATATAACTGCAGAAAATTCAATATTTTTTATATTTATATTTTACGATTTAAGCCATAACTTTATATTAATATTAGAGTTTTATATTTCTATTGAATGATACGTTATTTATATATAATTATAAAACAAATGCAATAATATATTAATATATTTATACTAATAGTAAACAAACGATTGAACCTTTCGGTTGATACCAACAGAAGAATGGGTTTTATATCACTCTTTCACATCCAGAAGAGATTCAATTTGAAGTTCAACTTTCAATATGAAACCATATATAAGGGACCATTTGATTACAAGAGGAGACACACACGCGCTTACAGATACCCATTTGGGATCAACAAAGAGTCCATTGAAGATCAGATCAATGAGATGAACCAATTGAGACAACGAGAAATCAATGATCAACACGTGTCACCATTTCATTTGGTCTGGAGATACAAAACAATGGCCCGCATTCCCTGGTAATAGACCGATGAATTGGACAGTAGTTTTAATTATCAATAGATTTAATTGTTATGATATTTCTTCTTATATTAAGGCACGAGAAGTATGTGTTGTCGCACTTGGGTTTGCATCAGAGGGAAAATGATATCCGTATAGTAGTTCCCAATACACCACACTTTAATGGTTTGCTTTGGAAAGTAAAGCATTTAATCAAATTGATTCCCATGTCGTTTCCCGACGGCATTCCCACTGAAGAGGACATTGGTTGTTGTAAACTGAATCCCGTTACCGGAGCACTGAATATAAACAAGAGTTATAAAGTGTCCAACGAGAGAGTGGCCGGCGCTAAATGGGATGACATATTTTATGGCCGTTATCTCAGAGAGTACCTCAAGTGGAGTTCAGGACTGTTCGGCAAATCATTGCCAGTCTCTGAAGTGAATCAAATTGAAGGAAAGCATATCATTGATTATAAACGCAAAATTACAAATGCAAACAAACATCAACATAATTACTATAATAATTAGTTTATTTAGTTGTTTATAAATATTTATCATTTGTAAAGTTATTTAATTTTAAGCATTTTTCAGTAGTTAAGATTTTTTCAATTATTTTCAAATAAAATTATAAAATAAATATATACTGTATATGTTTGTGTCATTTGTTTCAATTATTTCATATTTATGGTATATTTACTGTATATAAAAAATACTAAAAAATTTATTGTAAAACTTGTTTGTCATCTAAAAATTTTATTTTATTCATAATTAACATATTTTTTTGATAAGTGCTGTCATTTGTTGAAAATCCTAAAAATGTGTATAACATATGATATAATTTTTTTGTATCTATATTTAACACCAAAAAGTTTTTGGATAGATTTTTGATTATTTAAAAAATAATATTTGAATTAATTAAATATGAAATTTAATTAATACCAAAATAAGACATACAGTAACATAAAATAACTTTTATTTATATTACTGTAACATTGAAACTACAGTACAGTATTGTACGAAATAATACAAAATAATATATTTTATGCCTATTTTACTTAAAAGTATAATTCATGCCATTATTGTTGAATTAGCTCATAATGTACAGTCAATCCTCGACGATATATAATTAACATTTTATAATTACAAATTATTAAATCAATTAAATAGAAATTAAATATTACAAAATATTAATTTACTTGAAAATGATTTTAAACTATTTTATAAATTATAAATAAAATAATAATAAATTAAAGTTAAATATTATACTATTATACATTAAATAGGTTGAAGTGTTGTTTTATTGTATACTATTAATATTGTATAAAACGATTACTTTATTTTTAAGGGAAAACAAAACAATAAAGTTTTTTACAAAATAAATGACAAAATGTTTGATTAAAATAAGTGAATAACAAAACAAAAGTTTATTTCAAATGACTTTTAAATATTTAAAAGTTTATTATTTTATTTAATTGAACGTAAAGTTTATTTTTTTAAGCAAATTATTTAACAAAACATATCATTGAAAATCAAAATCAAATAATGAGTTATAATAATGAGTACAACAATACAAGTTTGGATCAAACAAATGGTAACCAATTTTTTGATAATAAAGTGAAGACATCGTCGATACAAATGATGGACAACGAGCTGATGATTGCTAGTAATTGTGATAATAATAATAGCGATGACTACGAGATATTAGAGGCATCAAAGGTCTTGCATTTAGCTCTTCAACAGATGGATGGCATCATTGCAAGTAATTATCACCAAAATTAATGACAAATCTATTTATTGATTACATTGTCTAACTTATTGTCCATTTTATTAGGTTGTGATTCAATGATGAGTCCAGACATTAGTTGTGTGACTCCGATGTCGGAAAACACACAACACTTTTCTTATAATAGCTATTCATTCAACAATAGACAACAAAAACTGAAGAATTTATTGTCTGAATTGAATGACTTACATATCAGCGACAATCAGATGACAAATAAAACAGTTGCCGATAAAGACATTCGTCGACTATTGACTGATGTACTCATCAAATACCTCAAGAGTTGGTCGCCACTCAATAAGACATCTCAAGATTTTAACATTTTATCAAAACCGGTAATTGTTTTGTAATTTGTTTTATAATTCATAACACATTTATGTGAAAAACAAATTGTTATAAAAATTGTTTTGTTTTCTCTAAACATTTTAATGATTTTCAAAATTAGATTTAAAGTTATGAATGAATCTGTTGTTTACAATATTTAAGAAAATATTGGTTTTATCTTAAAATTAGCGACAAATATACTGTAAATTAAGGCATTAATGTCAGTGATCTGTCATTGATTTTTAGTATTGAAAACCTTTATTTTAATGTCATTGCGATCTAAATGGCAAAGATTTATCTATTGATAAATTTTTTATAATCTCATATATGTTATTGTTTTTAGTGTTCAGACACGTCTCTCTCTCTCTCTCTCTYTCTCACACACACACACTCACACTCACTCACTCACTCACTCACTCACTCACTCACTCACACACACACACACACACACTCAGTCACTCTTAAGTTATTTGAACTTTTGGCAAATTATTTAACAGTTTATGTTTAGAGCACCGATAGTATAGGAAACTAATTTTGTTGAGTGTGTTTATATAAGTTTTTGATGTATAAATAATATGCGTTGGCTATGAGCCATAACCATAACCAAACTATACCTCCATGTCATGACAAACATCGCATATGCAAACAAAATACAGTATACTGTGTGTATATACGGTATATTTATATGTAAGGTTGTGCCAAATAGCACTTAAATTTAGGGTTTTTCGAGACAATATTAGTTAAAATTTTTCGTCTAAAAGCAGATTTTTTTTTTGGTAAAATTTGTGAGCAATAATTTGCAATAATTTTTGTCATATAATATAAACACTTTGTTACTAAATGATAACGAAAAAGTGTTTTCATAGTGTAACTAATTTATATGTATTTATTATATTGAATGTGTTTAGAAGTCATATATTATCAATATTTGTTTATACGATATCATAAATTTTAAAACAAAAGTCTAGAACCAAAAATATTTATCGGTTAAGAAATAAGCGTAAAATGATTTTTTTTGTTGAATGAATTATTATTAGTTTGTCATTATTTTTAGTATTAATCAAGAATTTTTATTTATAATTCTCACTTTTCAACAATTTTTCAAAATAAAAGTGCAATTCTTGTGAAATTAAATGTTTAGTATTATATGTAAACATTATATTATTTATATATATTGTATAAGCTATTTATTAAAAGCAATGGTTTGCTATCAAAGTTTTGCTACTCAAAACATAATATTAAAGTAATGTTTTTATAGTCTATGACTTTATAAAACTATAGACAGTACGGTATAATATGTGTTGTTATTTCTAAAAGCTATTCATATCCACCCTAACCTATGATAAAAGCACTCAAACAAACACAAACACATACATCTCATATCATCTACTTTTGGCATCATTTGTTGAATATTTTTTTTGATAATAAATCTTAACACTAACTGAACTCTGGAGTAGATTTTTGACTACTTTTGTTGTATTAGTCGATGTATTTTAAGGAGTAGTAGACATACAGTTTATAAGTTATAAATTTATAATAAATTTGATGTCTTAAAAATCGATGATTTGTCATATCTATTAAAGTAGTTTGTAATTTATAATAATTGTTTAACTTAAAAGTAAATTATATTTAAAATTATGAAAATTTTCATTAAAAATGTGTTGAAATTGATTTTGATTTAAATCAGTGTTTATGTGATACATGTTTTTGGATTTCAATCATTCATTTGTTCAGTCATTTGTGAATTCCCGAAGTCATCAAAATAATTGACAATTCAATTGAATGTCATTTTATGACATTTAAATTACTTGTTTTCAAAATGACTCACTGTTTGACTTAACGACAATCAAATCAAATCAAAATTATACTTTTGATAATTTTGACATTAATATTATAAATGTTATAACTTGTATATACTGTTGACTATGTGGTCTAACAATTCATCGCAATCTTCATCTACTCTATCAATTAAAAAGTCGACAAATGATAATTCTGCTGAAAACTCGGACTCGGAGTCGACAACACCGACACCGAGTCCACTGATCAATGAGACCGACTCTGTTTGGACCGAATCGATAGCAGATTTACAGCACAAGAATATTAAATCTAAACATTCGTCTCATTCAGACATCGATGAGAGACCCGAACGACAGTCAAGACCAGTGACTAGACCTATGAGACCACAGAGTCAGCCATCAATGCATTCCTGTGCTTGTTGTCACTGTTGTGAATCACTTCCCTATGAGGAACAACTGTCCACTTCTCGTGTATTGCAAATGAGAGACACGGCTACTAGTTTTACGCCGTCACTCGTAGCCAAACGCAACTATCGGTGCAATCATTGTGGCCTTAACTCTGCTCACATGTATATCGATCCGTTTGCTCCCAACTATTGGGATCATGTCGTTCCACATCATCACACACTACACGAGAATCTCTATTATAGAAAGGTTTTCCAATCCTTTTAATACCTGTTCCGACAATTTCTGTTCCCATTTCTTCAATAAATATCTGTCTCTTTGTTATATTTGTTCGAGTCTTTCATTTAAGTTCAATCGATATCAAAATAGACAATATTTTATAATTTAGTTTTGAATGATTTTTAAATAATTAATTAAATTGTTTTTTTGCAATTATCAAACATTATCAGTATATATATATATTATATTTGCAGAATTTTCAAGAGACTGACAAAATTCATGAGAAACTTGATTATTATGAAACTGAAAGACAACATCTCATTCTTCAGGTATTTATTTATTTTTTCATAAATTTATTTATATATATATATATATATATTATTTATTGACAATATTTAACTCTACATTTATAAAACTTTGTTATAAATGTTTTTAATTAAATATTTAACTTACTTACTATTAATAATGCTAATTTAAAATTAATAATACATTTGCTGAGATGAAGTTTTTAAAATTATGTCAAAAACATTTTTTATGATTAAACTGTTGATAGTATCAATATTACTTTAATTTATTGATTATATAATGTATAAGTTAGTAAATACTATACTATATAAATTTAGTAAATAAATGGCACATTTATAAATTTAATTATAAGTATAAAATTATTTTTCTAAAGTGCAACTTTTTTAATAAAAATTAATTTATAATAATGAACTTATTTCTAAGTAGCAAAACATTTTTAATTAATTATTGTTATGGCTTGAAATGTGATTATTTGTTTTGATATTATGTTTTATATAAAAAATAATTGAAAAGTATGTAAAAACAATTTATTAGAAACCCTCGAGAAATGTCATAACTCCTCAATTATACTTTATTACACCCAAAGCAAAAATTTTTAAGTATAGTATCTTTTATAACATTTATAAAATAATTTTATATTATATTTTCATTTATTTAATTGATTTGCACTTACATTCTTGACATTAGTAATAAAGCTAATCATTATGTAAATTAAATTTTAAAATTATTTTATTTAATCATAAATGACTTTGTTTTGTAAGTTTGAATTACTTTACAATAATTATATTCAAACATATTTGTTATAAAAATAAACAAAATTAAATGCTATATATTTCAAAAACTATTGTTTGACTCCAATTGAAATAATAGTTTTACAATAAATAATATCAAAAACGTCTCTTCAATCAAATGTTTACTATTTTTAACTCAAGTTTTATGTAATCATTTTTAATGAGGATTTCCACATAATTTAACTCAACATTGTATTCAAAATAACAAAATCTTATGCCTTTTAATGCTATTTTTAAATGAGTTTTGTATATCATTTATCAAAAATAAAAATCTGTTATCAATACAATTTTAAATTAAGTTAATTACAATATTTACAATATTTTATTTATATATTTACATTTTAAAATGAATATTTAATATAATAATAGTATTATTAAACTAATTAAATGATTAATTATTGTTTATAATAACTAATTTACTATATATTATAATAATTAATTTATGATATTATTAATTTATTTGCCATTAGAAAAATAAATTTATTAAAATATATTATTATATATGAAAATTTACTTAATTCTAATACTAATAACACAAAAAATGATAGAAATTTTGTTGATTAAATCATTAGTAAAACATTTATTTAAATAATTATAATTGTAATGAGTAATAAACTAAAGGAAACATATATACTATAATTATATTATAAATGCATACCAACCGGTCTTATCAGAAATATTCACTTAAACACTGTATGTAATTGTTATATATATTTTATATTACACCTCATTATAATTATAAAGCCTTCTGAAAGGTTAGGATTAATTGAGTGATAAACAACTTTATGATTCAATCAGTAAACGCTTTTATTTATATGTTTGCTGTGAATATGGCCTTAAACTAAGTCACGTTTTATTTGTTTTTATTTAAATAATTTAATTCAATTCAAATTCAATTGGCGTTTAGATGGGAATAATGAGCGAACAAATTGATTCACAATCCGACAAAATAGCAGAAATGGAGGAAATATTGGAAAACTCGAAAAGTCAGTTAATGGCCACTGAAGACATGTATCAGCAGTCGATGCTCACCAAGTCGTCACTCGAGGGAACAAAACTGGATCTTCTATCAGAAGTGACTAAACTTAGACTTGAGTTAAGCCAAAGCGAACATTTGAGGGTTACTGTTGAAGACAGAGCCCGCAAACTAGACAATGAATTATCTGTTATAAGGAGTACACTATTGGAAAGGGAGACTGAAATATCTGCACTTCGACTGACATTAGCGAAAATGGCCAGAACTACTGGCTATCTTCTAACTGATCACGAATTGTCACTTTTAAGAGGAAAGTCATATACAAACGATTTTGTACGGAACGTATGTTTTTTGAATTGCAAATTATTCTTGATTTAAACAATAATTATTTTTACAAATACATAGCGAATTCAGTCGCCCAAAGAGTCTCGTGTGACAGACAAACCTCCGCTACCTATCAGTCCTCGACTATATTCAAACACATCATCACATTCAGAACCGACTTCTCGTCGCGACAGTACTATTAGCGGACGACAATCTCCTTCAGTGACCGCCATATATCGCGTCAATTCGCCGCCAACACAACGCAGTGCATCTCCGTCACCCTTAACATCAATGACTCGCTCGACATCAGCCGAGGATATGAAATCAAAAACATTAACTACTCCTAACTATTCAACATTACCTCACTTGCACGGGGCTCAGGTGTTACACCAAATTCAGCAACAGTTACAACAACATGAAATGACCAATTCATACGATAGTGCCAGATCACCAACAACACCTAACTCGATGTCGAGTCTTCATAACCGATCATTGGATCGCTCTAATGATAATCTACGGCCGACCGATATGTCGGATTCAAGTAGTAGACATTCGGGTGTCGTATCATTTGGTAAACCAATTTTTAGACTTAAGGGAAGCAGGGCTTCAAGTACTCCTGAGTTAGGTGAAGGGATTTCATTTTCTTTCAATGTTTTTTCTAACCAATCGTGTATTGATTTTGTAGTCAACTAACGGTTTTATATACAAAACCATAATAGACAGCAAATGACTTAAAATATGTTAACTTTATTTGTCTATTAACTAAATTTTTTATGTTCTTTAATCTTACTGTTTATTGGCTGTTGTTTGCAAGCATTGGTATGAATATTAAAATGTCTTTATATCTTATGAAATAATTTGATGTATTAATTGAATGTATTGATTGAATGTATTAATTTGATGTTATTTGAATTTTCTTAACAATTAGTTTATTTATAATAATTTTTAATTTATTTGAAATATATAGCAAAAGAAGATCAAATCATATCATCTGCTCGTTCATCGACATCTGAGTTACCAAATTCTGTTCATTCATTACAGTTTGGCATTCAATTGCCTAATAAAGAATCAAAACCTAAAGGTCTTAAAAGGATATTCAGTCGGTAATGTATTTTACGAACTATTGTTGTGATTTACAAATGATTAATATTTATTCTCTTAAGACCTAAGAGAAGCCCTTCTTCTTCTTCTGGATTGTCAGATAATCCCTTCACAAGAGGAGGATTTCGATCAACTTCTGGTCCAAGACTTGGCTATTCTCCCAGCGTTAAGAAAAGCATTAAGTATTATATCTTATGTACTGTACTTAATACAGTAAATATTATACAGTATATTATGTTAAAATATTATCATTAAATTATTTGAATTTTTAGCGTAAATTTGCCGTTTTCTCGTTGGGACACAAATTTAGTGGCCGATTGGTTTTCAATAATTGGTTTGGGAATGTATGTCAATGACTGTAAGCGTTGGTGTAAAAATGGTGAACACCTAATGCGTGCCACAGCTCAGGAGGTCGAAAAAGAACTGGGAATACGTAATGCTTTGCATCGAAAGAAGTTGCGTTTAGCTGTCTCTTCAATGAATCAAGAATTAGATGAACTGAGTAAATGTGCGGATCAGTTGGACTATCTATGGGTTGCGCGATGGCTCGATGACATAGGACTTCCCCAATATAAAGATGTCTTTATTGACGCACGAATTGATGGTCGAGTGCTTCACTATTTGACAGTTGAAGACTTGTTAGCGCTAAAGATAACGAGTCAATTGCATCACTCGAGTATCAGATACGGTATAAAAGTGCTGAGAGAACAAAAGGTAAGTTTTTCACAAAATATATTATTATTGAAATTTATTTTTTAACAAATATTTTTTTCTATATTTAGTTCAACAGTCAATGTCTTAAACGTAGGGCCGGTTCCGACGAGACCAACATTAATGAATGGATACCCGAAGAAATAACTTTATGGACATCGCATCGAGTGATGGAATGGTTGCGTTCAATAGATCTGTCAGAGTTTGCCCCAAACCTACGGGGATCCGGAGTTCACGGCGGGCTTATTGTATACGAGTTGGCATTCAATGCCGACCTTTTTGCTACACTCTTGTCTATTCCTAACTCCAAAACTCTGTTACGACGACACATATCTATTAAGTTTAAACAATTAGTTGGCAATGACTTGTGTCGCGCCAAACGTGATCACGAAAACCAACCAAACTATGTGCCACTCATTGTTGGCGCCAAAGTAAAGGTATGATTTAGTTTTTATTACTAATTGATTATAATTTTTTTAGTAATTTGTTAATATTATATATATGGTTAGGTATATAAAAAAGGACAGTTCACTTTGAAAAAGAAACGCAAAGCAGATGTCGAATATGACGACTATGTGTGTCCCATATCAGACAATACAAGTCTGGCTTCACAGACATTGAGCCAAAGATCATCAGTGCGTCGACAGGACTCGATATCGAGTACTAATTCTGGACAACAGAGTACGGGTGCTATTAATGGCAATTCATTTGATAAAGTGACTGATGTTTGAAATCTCGCAATATTTTCAATGACTAAATTTATTATTAAAAATCACTTTTAAAAAAGATTTTTAATGAAAACTTTATTCATAATGTTATTTTTCCTTAAATATTTTGCAAATTATATAATTTATATATACAGTACGTATATATTTATAATTTAATTTATACACCAAATATGTTTAGATTTTTCTTGTTATACAAATATACAATTTTTTAAAAGTCCAAAATATTTTAGAATAATTCCAATGTCAGCTTTTTTCAACAATTTATTAATAAAATCATGAAATTTATTATATTTTGTTTTATAGATTTTATAAGTTTTGATAATTTAAAACTAAGATAAGTTTAAATTATTTGCGTCAATCAAAAGTGTGTTTACAATCAAGTAAACAATATTAAAATATTTGGCAAATTACTGTACTATTAATAGTACTTTTAAATTAGTAAATAAATAAACAATTTGATGATATTGTAGTTTATAAGGTATATAAATTTATATTTATAATTTATATAAGAAGGCGGTCAACCGATCTTGAGCGGCGTATTTTTTGAATAACTTTTGGACGGTAAGAGATAATTTAATTTTGTAAAATACATTTAAGAATATCATATCGACCACACTTAATATACACGAAATCACAAAACTAGGATGACCAGATATACAAAATATCGGGACCAATGAAAGACACTATGCTACAGCTCAAACTACAACTGACAAATTTTTTATGACAATGAAAATTTGTAGTCAAGAAATAATAGTTTAATATAAAAAAAGAATCATCAAAATCGGATTTGTTGTTTTATTTTTATACCTTGTTATGTTTGTCATAAATCACATTGTATAAAATTGTCTAAAATAAAATAGACGTTATTTATGAATATTATATACTTATTAAATGAAGATTTTCATATTATTACTAAATTTAAAAACAAAATTTTAATATGTCGACTAGTTAATAGCAAATAATCGACTTTCAATATAAATTATAATATCAAATTACAATAGTGTGATTTATATTGAAAGTCGATTATTTCGAAAACTAGTCGACATATTAAAATTTTGTTTTTAAATTTAGTAATAATATAATTGAAAATTTAATCTTATAAATATATAATAGTCATAAATAACGTCATTTTTATTTTAGACTATTTTATATATGATTTATGCCAAACTTGAGGAGCCATATAAACAAAACTACCAATCTGATTTTGATGATTCTTTTTTTATATTAAACTATTATTTCTTGACTACAAATTTACATTGTCATAAAAAATTTATAAGTAGTAGTTTGAGCTGTAGCATAGTGTCTTGCGTTGGTCTTGATATTTTGTATATCTGGTCATCCTAGTTTTGTGATTTCGTATATATTAAGTGTGGTCGATATGATATTCTTAAATGTATTTTACAAAATTAAATTATCTCTTACCGTCCAAAAGTTATTCAAAAAAATACGCCGCTCAAGATCGATTGACCGCCTTCTTACCTGTATATTGTACTTGTAAGGTATGATATAATGTTATTAAAGTTAGGGCAACTTCTAAGGGAGAGAAGTTCCCTAATAAAATCTCCAATTTTCCAGGAAAATAGGAAAAATATTTTATTTTCCCTCCATAGTTCGTTAGAAATGAAAATATATTTTATATTTTTAAAATAAATAATACCAAAACTTTATTTTTTGCATAAAATTTTACTGAAATATTTAAAAATAAATTTGTATTCAATTAATTTAGTGATACTATTTAACAATAATACTCAAAATACAGTTTAATACAACATTTGTTATTCAAATCTTATAATTTGTTGTTTAGAGTTCAATAAGTGGAAGATCAAGGAAATAGATTCCTTGTATTTTCAAATGAGAGGGAAAATAATGAATTTTTGGGAAATAATACGAGGGTGTAATTTGCCCGAACCCTAAATGTTATACATATACTGTAGTTATGGTTCGGGCAAATTTAGACCTTTGTTTTTTATTCCAAAAGTTCCCTATGTTTCCTACTCTCTGGGAATTTCCAAGAAGAAGGAAAATAGGGAACTTTTGGATAATAAGACGAGTGAGTGAATCATTACAAACCCTAACTGTATTATACAATTTAAGGCTCAAGGTCGTTTTGTTTGAACATATAATATTTAACAATCATTGTACTGTACTGTCTATGTGTCTAATTCCTGTAGTGTGTAATTATTTTATACAAATATAAAATATATTTTTTAAAAATTAATTAAAAGTGTGATTCAAATAATGGTTTATAAAACAATTCATGTTTTATCACAAATTCCTCAATTATTTGAAACAACTGTCAAAGCACTGCCTAATTGTCAAATAATTAATATAGGATTAACCGAATGGAGCGGTAAGTTTGATTTGAACTTAAATATTGGTGACCAAGAGATCAGTGATCTTCAGGAGGCAAACATAGTGTTTGGAGATCCAAACCTATTGGCCCAGACATTGCATAAGTTGCCAAATGTTGAATGGATGCAAAATACTTGGGCTGGCATTGACTGGTATGTGAACTGGTTGTCGAAAAGTGGTCAAAAACCTCCACAACATCTAATTACTAGATTTTCCGGGGAATCATTTGGTCAGTCTATGTTTGAGTATACTATTGGACACATCATTATAAATGAACGCAATTTTTTCAAAGATTATATAAATAGCAAACTTAATAAGAAATGGGAAAAAAATATTGTTTGGGATTTCAAGTGTATTAACGAAATGACAATTTGTATACTCGGCGGAACCGGTGCTATCGGAACTTATATGGCCAACAAATTTCAGACATTAGGAGCTCGAGTACTGGCTTATGGACGGTCACAAAGAACTGGACTATCGATTGATAAATACTCGACAAAATTGGACGACGTATTACCCGATTGTGATTATCTGATTAGTGTATTGCCATCGACACCGCAAACAACTGGTCTCTTAAACAATGATATACTCAAACTTTGTGCCGCAAAGAAACCCGTTTTTATAAACATAGGAAGAGGTTCAGTGATAGCCGAAAGTGAAATAATTAAAGCTTTAAATAATCAATGGATTAGCGGTGCAGTACTGGATGTGTTTGAATGCGAACCGTTACCCGACTCGAGTCCTCTCTGGTCTCATCCAAAAGTGACGATTACTCCACACAACTCTGCTATCACTCGACCTAAAGATTGTGTCAAAGTTTTTGTCGATAACTATCAAAAATTTCTGTCCAAACAACCCATGCTTTATACTATTGACTGGAATAGAGGCTATTAATTAATATTATTATTATATTAAATACAATACTTTGATAACAATTTTTAATTTAAATTTCTAAATTTACATTTAAAATAAATAACTATTTTATATAAATAATAGACAATATTTAATTTGAATACATTTTTATTTTTAATTATTTATAACTGATTTGAGTGCATCTTTAATAATAATGATATAATATAATAATCTATATAATAATAATAGTAATAATAAATATATAATAACAACACGATTAATTTGTATTTTTTATTATACATAATAAGTGAGCAAATTTGCAATCCATTCACAAACCAGACAATCCTTTATATAATCTATTTATTATATATAGAAATATTTTTTTCATTTAAAAATACAATTTATTGAAAATATTGCTTTCATATAAAGTGTATAAATTTATATTTGTTATATAATAATATTTATCGCATATTATATTTATACGCTATATTCAAATGATTTTAATACAAATTACCAAAATTTATTAATTTAATTAAAAATGATGTTAAATGTTAATGTGAAAATATTACAAACTAATACATTTAACATTGATATACTGTATGTACAATACATATACATAATTAAACATTGGTTTATAATTATTTGTGTGATGTTCATTAAACATTGTTATCAATAATATAATGATATAAAATTTTTTATTAAATAACAATAAATTTTGTATGAATGTATATATGTATGTATGTTTGTATATATGTTTATTTTTAATTAATTTTATTTTTTAAAATCAGAGAAAAGAAGGAATGCGTTAAATGAAAGTATCGATAAAATGTTGATTTTATTTACTAAATATCTTACTTTTTTGTTATTAATTGTTTTTTAATGATAATTCATTTGGCTTTAAATATAATAACAGATAAACAATAGTATTAATATAATAGAGTATAAAATACAGTAAGAATAACAATTGATTTCTAGTATTCAAAATCCAATTTACTGCACAAATAGTCGACAAAAAAACATTTTTATTTGTCAATTGACGGCATAATTATGTTTATTCTTATAACTGTCTTATATTATAAGCAATAGGTTTTTTTGAAAAAATATATCGTATTTTGTTATCAATAATATTAAACATATTTTTGGGTTCAATTTCATATTTTATGATATAAAAATGATTTCTACCGCTAAACAGTTTTTCTTTATACTATTATATACATTTAATACTAAACATTTATATAAATTATATATATATTTGATATTTTGTATGTTATCTTAGATTTGTTTCAATGCACTGTATTTTTATTGACTAAACCTTAAGGGCAGTGAAAATTGAAAAATATGTTTATTTTCAATATTTACTATACATTTTACTATTACTTTCACAATAACTCTTGAAACTTAAAAACCATAGGTTTTAGCGTTTTTTTCTTTTCAATCCCTTTTTTTATAAAAAAGTTATATATTTTTATATAATATTTTGCCATTCAATTCAATACATATTATAAATCAGATTTATTCACTATCTTTCACACAATGTGTAATATTTCTTTACATTTCAACGATAAACTATAAAATATTACTGTAATATTCAAAATATATAAAATGTACTAAACATGTATAAATTAAAATATAAATCAATACGTAAAACATATAAAATTTTGACAGTAAATAAAATATCAATTTTTTGGAATTAAAAAGTAGTTTTAAATACTTTAGATTGTTTTAAAAAGTGAAAAAATGATTTACAAAAACACTGTAAAATAACTTTTGTTGAAAATTAAATTTTTTATATTTAAAAAAATTAATAAAATAAAATAGAAAACATTAAAAATCAATGTTATAATAATTTTAAATATTATTTTATAGTTTGTAAAACAATATTGACAAATATTTGTTATATTTACTTATATCAAACATTGTTACAAAAGATATTTTTTCATAATAATGTTTAATGATTACAATTATTTTAAGAAAAATATAACACCGGTAAAGTAAATTAAAATTAAAATTTAATTATAATTTTATATATAGTAATATAATAGTTTTTAATAGTTTTAAGATATCGCATTAAAATTGAGCTTAAATTTTTATATCGATTTCAAATCAATTATTTGTGAAAAATACCATATAAATAATATTATAATTTTTTAACTAAAAAATCAACCAATAAAAATATTACTTTTGTTATGCCCTTATTTGATTTAATACTTTAATTTTATTAATATTTAACTAAATGTTTGATAAATTGATAGGTAATAATTGTATTTACTTATAAAAATTACAGCAATAAAACATTTAAATTACATTTTAAAAATTTAATTTGTATTATTTTTTTTAATAATTGATGATATGCTACTGTTAGACAACATTTTAATTAAAGTTTTTTGACTAAAAGTTATATATGAGTTACACATTAACACAATTTGTCAATTGGTTTAATCAACGAAGCGATTAAAGATTTAAATTAATAGATTATGTCAAAGTAAAATATGTATAATTTATAAACAGATTAGTCAATTAGTAAATAATTAGTTAAAGTCACACACATTTGTGGCATTTGAATAATAAATTAGTTGATAATAAAAACAATGTATCATTTGTTGAATTTAATACATTAAATTGTAAATGGCAATTACTATTATTTTTTATAATCAACATTTTTAGATCTTTAAATAATTATTAAGTTTTTCTATTATTCAAAAATATTATATATAAAATTAATTAAATTTCTAAATTGATTTGAAGGCACAAGTTTGAGGACCTTTTAGTTTTTATTAAGTTTTAAATTTATTTTTTAATCTGATTTTATAATTAAAAATGTTATTAAATATATGAAAATTAAATCTTTTCAATAAAATATATTTTAACTGAATTTAATATTAGACAAACTGTTATCTAAATAAAACAATGTAAACTAATTAAAATTATTTTAAAAATTAAAGTATGATATATTGTTTTGTTTTTGATTAATTGAGTTTATGATGCAATTTATATGCAATAAATATAGCATAACTTATATATACCATTATAAAAAATTGTTTAATTATTATATTATATCGTATACTTACATAATAAGTCAACAATTTAATTTGTTCAAATAGTTGACCATGCTCATATATAAATATATATATTCACAGGGAAAAACACCATCCCAATTAACTAATGAATATAAATATAACAAAATTTATTAAATATGACTTAAATAAATGTTTAAGTCAAATGCAGTATTACTTAACTAAAATTATTTATATATAAGATTAACATTAATATTACTAAAATATATGGAAAAACACAAACATACAGAAAATACTGTAGACATATAATGTGGCCCTAAATATACTCTATTAATAATATGTTTGTCTGAAAAGTTGTTGAATTTTTATAAATTATTTTGTCATAAAATTTTAAACAGTTTAGAAAACTCTTAATTTAAAATAAATTATTTAATGAAATATATTTTAATTTTTGAAAGTGTGAAGATTTTACAAAAATTAATATGACTTTTATTTTATTGTAGTTTTATATAATATAGACAGTATGTATGTATAATGTGTACGTCTATTGTTATGCAAAGTGACACTTATTTTTATAACGACAATCATTTTCGCAAATGTAATAAAACATTTGCTTTGGAAAAAAACAATAACTCTTTCGGCAAACAAAGAAATGTGAAATTATTTTATGCTAATTATAATAAACTAATAGCTTTAGAGAAAGGGTTTGTAGTTTTTTCAATTAAAGTCATAACTAATAGTTTTGGATGTATAGCATAATTCAGTACTCTATATGAAGTTCGTGTTTAATATGGTGTATAATAATAAAACAAATGGTAAGCCCTAACCTCTACACTACACAGTAATGTCAAAACGGTTTCGTTATAATTAAAAAAGTTTTTTCATTCAATAGACTTAGAGTTTTGAAAAGAGAAGAATTAAGAGAAGCAGTAAATGAGTAAAACATTTAAGCAAAAGATGAGAAAAAATTTTGTAATATATATAATAAGTTTTATATTTTGTCTGCTTTTACAGTAAGCACTCAAACATACGTATAATGTATTTGAAAAGTAAAGGAAAAGGGAATGCTTTTTGAAAAAAGAGTTATTCATTATAAAGATTTTAGTCATTGTCTGTAAGGGTTAGGAAAACACATTAAATCGATTTATATAAAATAAAGTATATATACGTGAATGTTATACATAAAAAGCACACATATATTGTAGTTTAATAATAAAATTTGCCGAAAACTATATGACTGCATATAATAAGCCTTAACTCTATCGCTACGAAAAACTTTTTTCTAATTAAATTCGTATCGATTTTTCTTATTTGTCGGAAAGCAAAAAAAGAAGTCTTTTTATGATATAATGACTATAAAATTGATATGAGATCTTAAATAATGAGAAAAATCACTCACACTTGCAATTACTTTATAAATATAAGTGCATTATATTTATTAAATGTAAGAAATAAATTATAAAATTTTTAATATATTTTACTTAAAATATTCATAATAAAAGCTATTAATTTTTGAGACATTTTTGAATTTTCTCTTTTAACTAAAAAATTATATTATGATTTAATTAATTATATTTATATTACAAATAGAAAATATCTAATTTTATTTTAATGTTTACAAATTAGTGGGAAAATTTTGCTAAACAATATATGACAATACAGTATATTTTATTTACATATAATTCAGCAAAAAATCTTTATTAATGTAAATATTTTTTAACATTAACATACAAATATATAATGTTTGATAATATTAAAAATGATAATAAAATATATGATAAGCTTTATACACATTTTATACAATTATTTATGATTTTGAATAAAATATTCCTGAGTTTCAATAGACCTGAGTTTATCATCACTTTATGTTTTTTATTTCATAAGTAATAATAGCTATAAATTTATAAACAATTCTTTATAACGCATATCAATTCATAAACTAAAAATCTCAAAAACTTGAAATATTAAATAAAATTTGATTCATGTTTTATAAGTGATTATAAACAAAAAATATTATGTAGTCATGCAATTATAAACTACTATAAAATAACTAAGATTATAAAATTTTCAAAAAACAAAGCAAAAGTCCATTTATATATTAAATGTATAGTTTATACACAAATTTGACTAATTTTCAGTTGAATTGTATAAATTCAATTCAATTTAATCAATATTATTCAATATATAATGAGGTAGTCGTGTTGTATAAGTCCGGCTCATCTGTTATTTGCTCTCAACTGTCATCACAGAGACGATGAAACAGATTTTAGACGAAAAAACTAAATGTTTTCAGATTTATATAACCAATCCTTTTGTGTATCAAAAGAACATTTGTATTAAATAAGATTCAATAATAACAAACTTTTTTCTTATGGTGTATACAATTGAAAAAAATAAAGTAAATAAATTCAAAGTGAAAGTAAAGTAAAAGATAAGAAAACAAAATTCAATACAATATATTATTATGAGGTATTGAATTCATTCATTTATTTATTTTTTTTGCAGAAAACATCAACTTTTTGAATACTTATGATGTATGTGTTGTGTATTAATAATAAAAAATAGAGGCAGACATCTGCGGGTGTGTTTGGTTCACGAGGGACACCGATAGCTGTGTATATTTACCCTAATTTTTAATATATCTGATTGTAAACAACAAGCAATTTCAGTGACACTGGGTTTTTAGACCATCGCTGGGAAAGTGGGTTACTGTGTATTGAGTGTGATTTTGGATATGCATTTTGATCCAGGTTACATTTAAGCTTGTTTATTGTTGATTTGCGTATAAAGTATAAGCATAAAAACATGTTATGTCTGGTCTGACCCAATATCTATGCAACAATTTTTTGTTTAGTTGTGTTGGGTGTTAGACAACATAACAACACAATTGTATGCTTTAAAAAAATAAAAAATGCAAAAATGCAATCCATTGCCTATCGCTTATAAATGCATTGAATATGATTGCAGACGGTTTGCTAAGGGATTGAGTTATTGAGTTGAGTCACACAGTGAGACAACAATTGCATGTTTGGCTGTTTACAAGATTTCCAAAAACCAACGGCCCTTTACTTCCCCTCTCCTGTTGCTGTAGTCTTGGGGTTCTCTGAAGTTGCCGTAAGGATAGGTTAGGTGTTAGACGCGCTCAGACAGACTCAACAACACTTACTTCACTGACTCTTTCTCAAGCACTCTACCTCTCTATATATACTGTAATATATATACAGTACTTTCCCTGCACTGGTATGTAAACACTGACCACTACTTTTATTTCTCATTTATTTCATATAAAGTCAGACTTTCTCAACTAATGTCTTTCTCGACTACTTTTGATCTCTTTTCTTGAAAAATATTTTTGTTTAAGGATTTCTGCAGCAAAATAGACAACAAAAAAATCATGAAAAACTAAGAAAAGTAAAAAACAAATATAAATAATTGTTTTTCAATTTTTTACAAAATTGTTATCTACGTTAAAACTTAGCTAAACTGTGTAAACAGTACTATTAAGGACAGGTCTAAAATTTGAGTGCTTTATCGGGTTAAGCTTTATATAACTGTATTGTATACTGTATTATCATTTTTTGGTGTTTATTTAAAAAATTTTATCATCTACGAAAATCATAATTTTAAAAAATAAATTCTATTATTTTCACTGTTTTTAAATTATTTTTTTTATTATTAAAACATAAAACAATATTTTTTTGGGGGATTTGTTGTGATTTTCTGCAATTTTACTTCAAAAACAAATGTGAGCTAATTTATCCTCCGGTGAATATCGATATATTGTATTCAATATATTGATTGAACATATAGTATAAACTTTTATATTTAGATTTAAAAAGACAAAGACATTGGATTTTTTGTTCAAAAATATTATTTTAATTGTTTTTCATTTTCAAATATAAACACATTTTTTATATAAATGGATTAAATACAAGATTTTGTTTTGAACTTAATAATAATAATAATAATAATCATAAAAATATAAATTTATATAATAATAAATATGTGCACCAATAAAGCTAAATAATCAAAGTTAAAGTTAGAGGAACCGTAAACCATATTTAAAAGTAAATTTTATAATAATAATTAATTATAATCAAATTGCTTCAAAATATATACTAATTTTAAGGAACTGTATATATCAGAAAATATAATATAAATTTTGAAATTAAAATTCTATAAATTATATTTGTAGAAATAAAATTATATAATTATAATTTTTAATATATAATATATAAATGAGCTAAATTTTTATATTCAATTAAATTATTTATAATTAATTTTATGATAATTTTTAATAAAAGATGATTTGATAAAAGACTTGATCCATAAAAAAGTTTCATTAAATTCATGTAAAACAACAAACACATGGAAAAAGCCTTTTTGACAATAAAACCCGTTTTGTTTTGATTTTTGGCAGCAAAACACAAATTAATTGTTCATATATTATATTTTATATATTTTGTTTGTTTTTCTCAGTTATTTCACGTAATTATCAATTTTAAGGTTAGAAAATATACTTTTGATACTACTTTCAACCTTTCATTATATTATAGATATATAAATATATTTATAAAATAGTTGAGTTGAACTCATAATAAATGGTTCATTTATAATTTATTTATTAGTAATTATATTTATATTTTAATATTTTGTGTTAATTGAAATTTGATTTCTGGCCACAAATAAAATTTTAAAAATTAAAAACAATAAAAGATTAAAAACAGAGACTCACATAAAAACAATACAAATAATTAATGTCTCTTTAAATATTAAGAAATATATGTAAATATATATATATATATATATCAATAATAATAATTAATAATAATAATAACTTATATTTGTCTAATTTGGAAATAATTACAATTGTTGAATTATTTAATTATAATTAATAAAAAACTTAAATTTTTTATATAATATGTAAATGCATTTTTATACATTTTTAATACAATTATCAATTATAACATTGCGCCGCAAATAAAATTTTTAAAAATACCATCAATAAAATTGTTTTCAACAATCGATTAATCCTTTTTAATATCAATTTTATATCTCACAGATTATACTAAATTTAACACACAATTTGTGTCAAAATATATTTAATATTTTTTGAAAAACACTTTTAGAGGAACTAGTTTTATATTTGATGTCAGTTTCATTTTGATTAGAGTATACATCCCTTTCCTGTCAATTTTTAAATTAACAAATATATTAATCAATAGTTTAATTGTTTTTAATTTATTTACTCGTATATCGTGTCAACAGAATAGAGATTACTCTAACTTTATGTAAAAGTTTTGTATTAAGATTTCAATTCAATTTATTTCATTGAAAGACAACTCTTCTTAAATAATTTTTATCATTCAATGAAATAATTACAAAAAAACATATTTTAGTTTATTTATTTGTAAGTTTAATAGCTTTTAAAGCTGTCTCTAAAATAATAACTTTTACTAAAGTATTAGAGTTCACTAATTAAAAAAATTAACTCTTAAAATAAGTTTTGAGGTATTTATGGTTTTTAAGTGACTATTAGTTTCATGTGATTACCCATTAATAAAATGTGTAAAATAATGTTCAATAAAATCAAACTATACCTGACATACAATTAACTTTCTAGTATTTTTATAAACTATTCTTTAATTACAATCTGAGAATTTGAGATCCAATAATAAATAATTATAAATAACGTAAAAATGGGAATAAAAATTTGTACCATAAAAAAATTATATATATAAATGAATATATTATTATTATAAATAAATTATTTATCAAAATAAGTATAATTAAACTTAAAATATTTATATAAATATATCAAAATTGAGTCAATTCTCATCCTTTTAATATGATTTGTGCGCAAAACTGAACCCCTTTTCTGAGCCTTTCTGTCACACAATTGAACCAAACTATTGATAATTTTATTCATAAAAAACTTTCGGAAACAGTTTTATTGAACGATTTACACACAATACTTATGGGTTAATCACAGTTTGATTATTTTAAATAAGATTTTGTCACCTTTTTAACGCATTTTTAATAATAAATTATACATAACCCGACTTAGAGATGGTATACTTTAAAGGTATCGGAGCTGCTGTTGAGGTATGCTATGTGTTAGTTTTGAACATTGGTTTTTTGGTTTTCAAACCAATAAAATACTTAATATACTTATATACGATATATAAGTAATATATATATATATATATGTTTTTGTGAAATTGATTTTTTTTTCTACACTAGAGTTTGAAATGAGGTATTTCGTTACAATTAAAAACAAATTATCAAAATTTGATTATCAATACAAATAATAATAAGAATTTGAACTCATATAATATCAAAAATAATATTATAAGTCATATCATGTCTTATGTATAAGTGATATAAACAAAATATTACTAATAACATAACAAAAACAACATAAAATGTAATTATTTTTTTGTTACTTCATTTGGATTTTAGTTTTATGACTTAATTTAAAAAATAAAAAACTAGGAATTACTGTATTTAATTAGAGGAACAGAAAATTTTGTATTATTTATAATAATAATTAATAAATTAATTTGTTTTCACTCTCACTATTCATTTGTGTGTAATTTTAAATGTGAAAAAACAAATTAATTACTTTAACAATACGACACCAACTAAATAATTATATTAATTAATTAAATGCTTAAATCATAACAAATTTTGAATTTGATTTTTGTTTGTTTGTTGAACACATATTGAGATTAGTATGGTTTGTGTGTAAGTGTGTGAATGTATGTGACATACAATTTATGATTATATTTAACCGTTACTTAGCTTTCAATTGATTGAAAATTATTGAAAAGTAATAGTATTTTTTGTATCACTTTCTCACTTAACACGTAGTAGTCTTAGGTTTGGTCAAAGGTATGGCTCTATTGTTACCATTTTCTTCATGATCTGTGTCGACATCCATACCTCCGTTGCCATTGTTATCACTGTTGGAACTGTTTTCATGTAATCGTCTTCTCTGGTAGTGGTCATAAGGATCGTCATCCTCATCGTCATCGACCTCTTCTTCAATTGGTTCGGCTTCGGAATCATCACTTCGAGAACGAGATAAGTCTAAGACATCGGCGCTGTTGTTGTTATTATTATTATTAAGTTTATTATAATATAATAGCGTCGATGGCATACTTGATGGCGCCTGAAGTGATGGCGATAGCGATAGATTAAGAGGTTGTGTTTGTATCGAGTTATGGTCTGAGAGAAACAAATCTCTGTGTTGTGGCGTTAATATACGTATAGTTTGTCTCGGTTTACGGCGAGATTTAGACGGACCCGAATCAGGGAGACCACCCCCTAAGTGCGCAACCGGGGGCGGCGCCTTTGGTGGCACTGATGGTGTTAAATGATGATAAAAGGAACTGGAAGTGGCCGCTGCACTCAATGCGGCCGTCGAGGACGAGACGGTGGCACCGGTGGCCACAACAGGCAAATGCGTCTCATCTGCAGGACTGGCGCATATCAAAGCACTGGTAGGCGTGACCAGCGTGTCGTATGCTTTTGGTCTGCGACCACGTCTGGGTTTACCGATATTTGCTTCATCTTTAGGGCACTTATGGTGCATGAGGTGATGTCTCCTCCTAAACCTACCCAGGCACTTGTTGCACTCAAATGGCTTCTCTCCTTTATGTATCAACATATGGGCCTTCAATTGATTTGAATCTGAGAATCTACTGGTGCACAGCTCACAAGCGTAGGGCCGTTCGCCGGTGTGCACCCGTAAGTGCCGTCTAAGATTGGCCACCTGTACAAACTGTCTCTCGCAATGAGTGCAGTGATACGGCTTTTCTCCCGTATGTAACCTCATGTGAGTCTTCAAGTGGTGATCCCGAGTAAACCTTTTATGGCATTCCCGACATTCAAATGGCTTCTCCCCGGTGTGCGTCCGTTCGTGATTTTGGAGCACATGTTTATACCCAAAACATCGGTTACAGACCTGACACACAAAAACTTTGTCCCTTCCCTGACCAGTAGTCGTACTGGTGGTCGAACCACTACCGGGAGAGTCGGCGGCGCGCGGTTTTGGTCCCGGTTTAGAGCTGACACCCATACTTAAGGAAAGCGGAGAAGCGCTGTTGGAGCCGTCGGAACTGGACTTGGAATGAGTGCTATGAGTGCTGTTGGCACCGGACAGTGCATTTCTGGCCGCAACGTTTGCCAACTCTTGCATTAATATCCTATTTTGTTCACTGCCTGCCAATGGGAAAGCTAGCGGTGATATGCCTGAAGCAGCAGCCGCTGCTGCAGCCGCCAAATCATTGCCGATGGTCACCAATGCATTGCCATAAATTTGGGCTTTGAATAGATCTACCGCTTCCAGGACTGAAGTTTTAGGTCTTCTATGTGGTGATGATATGACACTAACACTGACACCTCCACTGCCGGTGCCGTTCGTAGAACTCGAGACCTTGGAATTGGATGTCGAGACGGACTCGACTTTAATTGTTGGACTTATTGAAGTGGATGTCGACAATTGATGTGTCAAGTGATCGATGGCATCGTTGCTCAACGCATCGCCTTCTTCTTTCATCGTCCGTCAATACCCGTGACACGTGCGGGCACACCCTAACTGGTTATACAAATATAAAATACATACTTTAGTAAACTTAAGTTATAGCTAATTATATAATTATATAATTAAATATTCATTTTTAATTACTTTATAAACAATTCTTATGAATGACTGATTTAAAGTGTTTGAATACACAAATGACATATAAAAACATATTATAAATTCATATATTTATATAACTAATGTTTAAATATCGATAAATTTTAGTCACTTATAATAAATATCACGAGTGAAGAATCAAGTGGTGATATAAATCAATTGAATACTAAAGACGACTACAAAATGTTTGAGTAAATAAAAAACCTATAACTTTAGTTTAGCTTTTATTTTGTTTGATTTACTGATTTATTTTTAAAAAAACTTATAACAAAATGATCGCAACCTTTGACAACAAATTACATTGAGTTACTTAATAACTTATAATAGATTTATTCTATAGATGTTTATCGACACAAAAAAACAATATTTTTTAAGTAAACAAATGGTAATAATTAAAATAAAAACAACATTTATTGATCACATTTACAATTTTGATTTATAAGATATGACTTGTTTTGATATATTTTGAAATATATTAAAACATTAAATAATTTTGATAAACATATATATAATTTTTAGGAACTTTTTATTTTGCTTTAGACGTTCAGAGAAAACATCTACATCTTTAAGAAACTTTTTAAGGAATGGTAGGTATCGTATGAATAAAATGATTATAAAAACTCATGCTTTCAATAACGGCTCTCCAATATTGTTATGTATGGAATACGAGAGGAGTTAGGGTATAGTAGAGGCGGATTGTCTTATAGGGAACCAGTAGTGTGTCGATACATCATTCAATTCAGGGGGAGTTAACCCAATGGTATCAAACATTATATAAATTGTTAGCCTAGTATCAGGCGGCGGGAGAGAAAGAGRGAGAGAGAGAGAGAGAGAGAGAGAGAGAGAGAGAGAGAGAGAGAGAGAGAGAGAGAGAGTTTATTTCAAGGTTGCATAAAAATGATAGAAAAATTGTAAAAATGATTCAGTCATATCTTAGGGTGAGGCACAACATAAAAGCATAGGTTAAGCTGACACAGCACTGGTAGCTGTGTTTCTGTCCTGCTTTTCTTAAGTAATTGTCTCAGCATTTGATATAAATGTTAGGGAAAAGAGTCTAAAAATCAGGTCAATCGCACAAAAAACAGAAACAACACAACACTACTAAAATAGTTGAAAGTCTGGCACACATATCGACGTCATCCATGTCTCGACTTTACCTATTGTTATGTCACCCAAAAAATGGTTATATGTTTGTTATATGAGTGAATGTATGTGCAAAAGATTTCCCTTTCAATGAAGATCAAGGTCTGGAAGACCGAGTTGTATGCAATGTCTGGCCCTAAACCTATCGGTAACCACCCCTATCACAGTCTCCCCTCTCTCTCACAGTAAAAAAGTATTTCCTTTGACTCTCTTTTTTTGAGTCCTTTTCTTTTTTCAAAGCAAAAGGGAAACCATTTGTATACCACTTTCTCTTTCAAACGGCGAGGAGAGAGACATTTGCCACCATCTGATAGTTTCAGTGTTCTTTCATTTTACAATTTTGACTCTGATCTGCATTTTTTTCGTAAAATATTATAATCATTTTACTCCAAACACATATAGACAGTACATATATAACACATATACTGTACACAACAGTTCCCAATTGCCTTATCACTAGTTCCCCGGTATTTTGATGGCAATGATATTCAAGTGTTTTTTTACTCTCTCAGAAACCTTTGGACATTCTTTGAGTTACTAATACTGAAGGCAACCATTAGGCCAGTGCTCTGATAAGGCAACTATACTAAGCATACATTCATAATATGTAATATTTGTGCAAATGTTGGGAAATTGTTGTTTGGAGGGAAACGGCATTACTATTGGGGGACAGCAAACAGTGAATTAGTGTCGCACCACTACATACACTTAGCCATTGCTCTCCCTCTCCGACCAATTGATAATAAATGCCCAGAGATTCAGTAAAACACACATTTAATGTCTATTTCTTATTAATATTATATACACTTAACTCATCAAAAAAAAATTTTATTCAAATAATATTAATATATCAATAATCATTGAAAATACCATAAAATTATTATAATATAAAATATGTATCAAAATCATAAAACATCAAATTAAAGAGGAAAGTACTAAAAAAGTTAGATTCCTTTCAAACTCTTATTACATAAAAAACTAATACATATTTAGCCCCAAAACACTAGTAGTTAAAGCATTGAATTTTCATTCAATTAAAAACTCATAGCCTTTAGCACCAAATCCTGTAAAGTAGTGCACAACGGATAACATTAACCCATTGAAAGGAAAACATTTTTACAAGAGTTAAAAACCCCTTACATCTCATATATAAATAATAAGGCAGTGATGCCTAACTTTCCTCCTTTAAACTCAAGCACATACCAGTGCTCTCTAACATTGCTTGTGTGGCGGCTTAAGTCATAGATGCTATTTTCAGTACTGTTTTAGCTCTGATAGTCATTTAATGGTTTATGTAAATGAAAGGTTAAATCTAAATGAATTAAATAATGACTTTTATATTCTGTAATTTATATATAATATATAAGTGTTATACAGAACTTTATAACTTTTTTTCTTTTTTTCGTGACTAATAAATTAAAAATTGTACGTTCAGTATAATAATTTTTTTAAATGTTTAAGATTTATTTTGTTATAACTAAAAACATTAGATTTCACTTATTAGTAGATATTATTTGACAAATTTGTTATTATATTTTGAAATTTTCTTTTTAATTTTAACTATTTTAGGAGACAACATATATATATATAAAGATAAAAATCAATTTCAAGAGTTGTGTTTAGAAACTGACTGAAAGAAAATAAAAATATCTGACATTTGAGGGTTGAAACTAAGCAAAGAGTCTTATTAAATAATTGTTGGTTTAAAAGCAGTAAAATATGTCTGATTTGTTAAAATGGTTATTACATTATTTAACTGAATGTCATTTTATTTGCTGATGAGCTAAAGTCCAATTCAAGCCTTATATTAAGTGATAATGTAATATTTAAACTGAATAATGTCAAAGTTATATACGATATTATAAATACAATCAAATTATTTCAATTATAACAGCAAAACACACATCACAACAATAACAACTTACTATAATACTTGTAAATTATATGATAGCCTATTATAGAGAAATGATATATAAATTAATGAGAGGTCCAATTTAGAGGTAACAGTTATATATTAACTGCAAATATTATATAAATACTGCATATAATGCCAATTGTCAAAAATTCATTATCTTATCAAAATACCAAATGCTAATAAAATTCATGATAAATATATATAATAGTCATAATTTATTTGCACATGTATTTTATATGTGTTGTTTAAATTCAGGTTTGTATCGGTTATCGTTGTTTTTTGTCGACAGACAGAGAAACCATTTAATACATTTTCAGAGTCAATGTTGTGTTATGTTTACACAAAATATCTAAAAAAATCTTTACAAATATATATATTATATTATATATATTTATAAACATTTTGATAAAACAAAATTTGGACATAACTTTGATTAATGCAGATAATACTATAAACTTTTATAGTAAAATTATATAGTAATGATATAACTACTAATTACACATTATCGTGATCTACAAAATATTATTAATAACTATTATTAATTATTATATTATAACTAAATTATCATAAATACCAAAAAAGTTTAATAAATTAAATTTTAAGCTTCATTTTATATAAAATACAATACAAAATATAGTTATTTCTATTTTCTTGACAAATAAATTAATCTGTTTTTGTTGTCAATAGACTCAATGGACTACTTGTAAAATATTATCTCTTAAAGAAAGAGAGAAACTCATGATAAAAGATATATAATTTTATGGTCATATATATATACAAACATAAGGAGAGATTATTTATCAAATGTAATTTTATCTTATATAATGTATAGTTTTAGTTATAGTTTAATATAATATATTTATCCTAATATTTGATTTAAATAAGTAGAACACTGGCTATGGTTGCAAATATTTACATATCATTGCATATCTTAAGTACAAACTATAAGCAAAAAAAAATTATTGGTTAACAAAAACCATTCAAACAGTGATCACAAGGATATCACTTTGTATTTGTAACAAATTTAAACATTTAATTATCGTAATTGTTATTAACATTATTAACCTAATAATTGCCTAATTTAACATTAGCAAAGAACTCATTAAACCACAAATAAAATAAATAATAACAAAGTTTAAAAATAAAAATGTATATACTATATACCGACTCATTTATTTGAAATAAAATAATTAGTATTAGTAATACTAATACTAATTTAGTATACAAAATTATTACTAAGAAATATAAGAATTAAATTTCAATTTAATATATTATATTTATATAATATAAAATTATTGATATTTAAGTACCATACATTATACTGTATATATACAGTATATAATAAAAATTAAAAACCTTTAATTACATATACAATTGTATATTTGCAATTTATTTTGTGTATAGTGTACAGTATATATATATTTACTTTATATTACTAATGATATTTTATATTTGAAAATTGTTTTTAAAAATATTGAGTTATAATAAAATTGTAATAATAACAAAATTAAAAGGAAATCTATGGATCAGTCAGACATACAGTGGCAAAGTTAGCTCAATATGATCCTAACCTTTCAGCGCTAAACAACAATTGAATATACGGTATAATAAATAACTTTTTATTTTAAAAAAAATATTCGATTTTTACATCAAAAATAAGTATATATGTCTACAGATATATAGATATATGGGTTTGGAGGGTATGGGAGGAAAAGAGAGAGGGATTGTACAGAAAGAGAAACTAACTTTAATGTTAGCAAAATGTGAGTCAGTAGTGAAAGAGCAGAGACTAAAGAGAGAAAATTATAGCATCTTTTTGGAGGAGAAGTACATATTGAGT